AAGATGGCCAAAAGGTGTGGAACACGCACACACACACTCACTCACTGTATGGACGTAGAGGGGGTTGGAATATGTGTTGAACAAGCTTGCTACATCAGTGTCCATTAGGTAGAAAATTTCTCACATCTTGTCTCTGTGGCACTCAGTCATGCATAATGCATTTCCTTCCCGAAAACACCTTTGATGTTGCACCTTATGTTGAAAAGCAGGAACTTTATGAATTCAAGCCATCCTGTAGCATAAACAGCACAGTGATTGATCCTGACTTGAATAATTGCCTCACCTTTTAAGTATTTTTACCCCTTTCACAGTAGAGCAGAATAGTTGTCGGCTGTATCAAGCGGTGTGCTTTGGTGAAGTTCCTTATCTTTTTTACTCCCAAACAATGTACTTACATTGTTCCATCATAGTGGGAGCATGTGGCAACAAGCTCAATTGATACAATACACCAAATGTACTTTCTAGAAGTTTCATTGGGCCACTCTTAGTTGGACTTTAAAGCTCAGTTACTCCCCCTTGTGATGAGATGCAAAACTGGATGCCATTATAGTGGACATTTGAAATAGATTTAATCTGTTAAAAGCTACTTTGAGTATGGGATTAAAACTCTGAGAACTAGTTATTACTGGAATTATGTGCTTTCTCACATTTGACCATTTAATTAAATTTTGGTGTAACTCATCCCATGTCTCCCTTTAACAGGATACTGAAGATGTGGTGGAGGCTGGAGCTGGCAAGTTGGATTCTTTTTTTGGGGGGGTGGGGGGGATGTTCCATCCATCCATTCATTTGCTATATTGTTATTCCGAACGGGGTCACAGGGGTGCTGGAGCCTATCTGAGCTGACGGGAAAATGTTCTAATTCCAGATAAATGATGGATAAATGATGTAGAGAATCTGAAGTGTAACATGTTACGCTATCATTAGTCATTCTGTCCATTGCAATTCTGTACTGAAACGAGTCGAGAGAAATTTCTCTGACCGCAACACACTGTCAGCAACAGCTGTGCTCACTTAATTACATAAGTGCCCTCCTACCTTTTTCAAACCCTTGTCTGTTGATCATTATTCCCTCAGAAAATGCCCAAGACGTTGTGCAAAATGGACCAAACGACACAAGAAACTCAGGTTGGTAAAGAAAATTTTCCAAAAAAACAAAAACGGCACATTATTCCACTTTTTGTATTATGAAATAAAAGGGAAGCACGGGCATGCTTTAGGACAGTCAAAACAGTGAATTGGATGTAAAAAAGAACGTAGACAAATGCAGACAGTGAAAACTGTTGTCCTTAATTTACCTCATCTATGGAATCATGTAAACCAGCAGCCTGACATGCTATAGCTGTTTGAACTGACACATTTTTCAAAGAAAGATGGATCTTAGATGATTAACATATTTACTGTGTGTGTGTTGCAGTCGCTCTGACCAACAGTGATCAACATCAACCAAACAGCAATCACATCGCACCAGATCAGAGTGAATCAGACACAAATGGACCGATTGGAGGAACCGAGAGTGGGGACTGTAAGAGTCCAGGAGCTGAAAACGATGCCATCGAGGGTGGATCGGGTCAAATTCCGAACGCCGACAATGACGAAGAGGAGGAAGGGACACTGGTGATGAGAGCGGAATGTGTTATCATCACGGATGAAGGGGACGATGTGTCTGTGGAGCTTACCACTCAAGAAGCATCTGAAAATTTAACAGAAGCAGAAAATAGCGACGCAAGTGAGTGCGCTACAAAGAAGATGCAAGACATGGATGAAGGCCAGGATGAGAAAATAGAGGTTCAAGGGAGGGCCACTGTGGCTTTGGTGCCAGTCTACACCGAGGTGCCATCTTCTGCTCTCAGTTCTGCTTTAGAAGCTGAAGAAGAGAAGTCAACGGCAGCTGAGGCAGCTCTGAAAGTTGCCAATGACACCCGTCTATCCGGACAGTTCCAGGAGGTGCCCCTGACCGATCCTCGGAACAGCCTGAGAACGGAGGCGGGGCCAGCGGAGCAGGAGCCGCTTCTGTCGAAAGCCGAAACGCCCAAAGCGACGGCAGAGCTAGCCGGAGCGAACAGCCGAGGCAGCGCGGAGCCACAGAGCCCCACCAGAGGGAACCCGGGAGGAAACTTGGACTCGCCCAAACACAAAAACTGCCAGTGCTGTTCCGTCATGTGAATTCTCCTCCCCATGCACGAGTTTCCTCCAAGCCTCTCGTTTTTTCTCCTCATCCTTCACCACGTCCCATGAACGCATTCCCTCCGCCATCTCTTTGTTTAGTGCATGCATCCATTTTTGACTCAGCAAGTCCCCAGACAAAATTTTCCGAAATTTACGAAACGTCCCAACCCTTCATATTGACAGAAAGTCCTTTGCTCCAACATGAAAGGGGTCCCAGAGACATAACTTTGAGGTTTTAAGCACTTTCAGCCTATCCGAGTTCAGTTTAACAGACTTTTCCTCATACATGGTTGGCTCAAATATTTTGATCCCCCCGACTCATTCGTGATCAGATCAGCCAACATGCACTTCTAACCTTCAAATGAAGAGTCAGTATATTTTAAAAACTGACCGATGTACCGTTTTAAATTTGCTTTGTACCTTTTAGAAGAAAAAATCTGATATTGAGCGTCATAGGCGTACAGATGTTTGGAGGTTTGCAGAAAGCATTGAAGCCGAATTATTTTATTGCTGTTTGACACTTAGATTTGTTCATTAATCTACACACAGAGAAGCTGAATAAAATTTTTCTTTGATTTTTATTTACTCAGCTATACTGTGTCAGCAGGACAAAATGGCTTGCAGTTCAAAATGGTCTGATTTACAAACAGTGTGCAGCACTACGTTTTTGGAGGAGTGGCAGTTTTAGAAGAGAAATTAATTTTAACTACCTGGAAGTATGAATTTTTCTTTAATTTTCTTCTTTACCGCATGGGTTTTAGTTGAGGTCTGGTATGGCTGTATATACTGTAAACTACATTTTTGAGCCCTGACATGATTGCTTATTGGTTTATCGATTAAACTGATATTTGTGGTAAATGACTTGTCTGTGTTCATTCAGCATATGTGCTTCCCAAACACTGAGTGAAAACACAGCACATAAAGCCAAGTCAGCCTAAGCACTAGTTTGCCATTAACTCAGGGAGCATTGCTGTCATGCCCATATAATAACCACCGCAGTGTTTAAAAGAGGAAACGAAAGTCTCAAACCATTCCAGATTTATTGTATGTCACCAAGAAATTGGAGAAACAGCAGAGGGGTTTGTTCAAGTCTCATTATCAAAGGTGGGTGTTCTTTGTTCTATATGCACTCGTACACCAATGAATACATTGGAAGGCACTGTAACACTGTGTCTGGCCTAAGGATGCTTTGATATGTAAACTTGGGAAGCCATGAGGGAAACCCATCAGTCTACCTATTGCCGTGTGATTGTCTTTCTCTTTAGCTACAGCTGCCTAACTTTTGTCATCAAACAGCCGGACTCCTCCTCTCAGTAAGTAATCTTCAAGAATAGTTCTCGAATGACATTCCAGAGTTTTGTTGTTTTGTTTTTTTAATCTTGGCTGCTCTTGGTTCCATCCTCTGTCTGGAATATTCCCCGCTGCGTAAAAGTTTTTTGAAGTTTGCGCTTTGGGGAGGATCGATCCCTCCGTCAGACCCATTGCCACTCATTTTAAGCCAGCTTCCTCTGTTTTTTTTTGGCATGCCTCACCTCCCTCCCTGTCTCAATTACCGTTACTTAGCGATGGCTTCTTGACAGCAGCCTTTCTTTAGAAACCATCTTTAGTGAAGATTCAATCAAAAGTTAGGATTAACCAAGCTGCTGGCATAAACTGCCAAAAGATCCAGTTCAAATGTGCCTTGACACTGGTTGATCTGTCGAAGTTGGTGCTTTTCTTTTTCTTGGGTATTTCAGGAATTGGTATTAGGTTGCTTATCTAACAAAAAATTACTTCCTTTTGACAGTGGTCAGGAACAAGAAATAAAATGAATTGGGATGAGGAAATATTCTGTCATCTTTAAAGCAAAATGCAATGAGATGACCATGTGACTCAAGTCTTGTACAGTCCTAGGTAAATTGTTTAGGACGGGCTTCTTTTTTTTAATTTATTTTTTTAGGATTTTTAAACGTACTTTGTATATCTATAACTTTTAATAGCGTATCGCAGCATCACGGACTCAGACGGGGCTTTGACTTGTGATCCCTGCAACATGTCCAAAAAATGTATCACCTCTGTTAAAGAAATATGTTTTGAAAAGCTGCCAAAGATCCTGCTGCGTCTTCACCAATTCTCTTTGGCCTACGGGGAAAAGGGAACATTTTAGTTTTCCATACCTTGAAATAAGTCCTGCTGAGTGATATCGCCCAGTGAGGCCCAGATAACATCAAACAGATTTGCTCGTAACGCAAGAAAAACTGTTGAAAATTGTGGCATGAAAAGAGTCTGTGTATTTTTTTTTAAACTAAACCGGAGTTGACTAGAGGTCTTAAAATGAGAAGTTTATCACAAGGATTTGCAAATATTTTTTGAATGGAGTACACTTTTCTGTTTAACTGCCATGGCATTTGGTCATAAATATGTGTTGCTGCTTTAAATTTAGCAGAATTCCTGCACTGAAACTGCCCAAAGAATCTTATTTACTTAAAAAAGTACATATTTTCCATTTGAACATTTTCTTCATCTTGTCAGTTTTCTAGTCTACATTTACTGCATGTAAAGAAGTATTTAACAGGGACCTGTGCATTCCCAGAATTTAATAAGTTTAGTCGTACAAATTTCAAAATGATTTGATTCACCTTGAAGGTCTAGCACACAGGCCGGATTGAGCCGGTCAGCCATTGTAAACATTATATAATCCAGTTTCGAAATTTGTACCGATAAACACAGACTTGGGACTGTACTCTCTGCAATTTTTAACATTGCAAAATATTTGTGTCACGATTCTAAGTATAAAAGAAAAACACAGAGCAGCTGAGATCCATCAAACAACCCAACAAAGATACAGAGACATGTGGGCTGTATTCGTCACCGTTCTCTCCTTGATTTCCATGAGCTGTTCAGCTCCTCTGGACTGTGAACAGTTGGTCCGGCCCTTGGCTCAACTTGACCCTCTTGCTTCGGTGGGAAGATGGGCATTAATTGCAGGGAGTCTTAAAAATCCAGCTGCTGAAAGTGCTCTGAGGAAACAGGACAGCATAGCTATCGAGATCAACAACTCTTCATACATCCAAGCAATCTTTCAAGACGACAAATGCCAATATGATACGCTGGATGTGTCAGTGGAAGGCAATGTCTTGAAATTGAAGGGCAGTTACAACTTTACTTTGACTTTCCATCACACATCCTGCTCAGACTGTGCACTTTTTTTGCTGGACGTGCAGGCCTTTAACAACACAACGTCGGATTTTTATCTGCTCAGCAAGAGGAGACAGTTGGAGAAGACGGAGTTGGAGGAGTTCAGAACTCAGGTGGAGTGTCTGAAAATGCCTCCACCTGTTGTGATGGATCCTGCCAAAGTTCTTTGTCCAGAGCAGGACACCAACGTTCCAGCCGACCAAGCTTAAAAGAAAGCAGAGGCTCTGAAGGACTGAAGAGTGAAATGCCTCGCTGCTTTTTAAGTTGATTAACAACTTAATTGAATCAGTTTTTCTGTACAATTCATTTTTGTGGACTGTGACGAACCACAGTATACCTAAATGTAACAGGAAACGAATGGTCATTTACTGAAAAAATAAAATTCTTAACAGATTTGGTTTTGTTCATACAGTCTTTCATATGTTCCATTATTTGAATTAGGAACCCAATGTGCTGTACTGAATGTGACTGACACCAATGGGGAAGGTATGCAGTAATTTCATCTTTCAATATCAAGCTAATTCGCAGGATTGTAAAATCTATTACATTTTCTGGTATGAATCTTTAAGGCAAATTACATGACTTATCACTCTCAGCCTTATAAAAGGATCCGTGGACAGAATGAAAACTTTATCCCAAATTAAAATGAACATGACCTGGTTTCTGCATGCTCTTGTTCTGGCATTATGAACGAAACTGCACTGAATGTCACACTGTAAATCTGCATATACGCTACAGGCAAAATAGCATCTTACACTTTACCACAATAATAGAAAAACTCAGAAAACAGATTAGATTAAAAAGAAGAGACAATGTGAAGACAACTGTGGAAAACACCTGATGAGGCAGTTGATCTTATTTCAATCTTTTTAATCATTAAAATGTTGTAAATTAAAATCCCTGGACGGCTTTAAACTCATCCGCGCGGACAGAACTTTGGCGGAGAGCGGAAAAAAGAGAGGAGGGGGGCTGGCGGTGTTTGTGAATGAGAGATGGTGCAACGCGGCTCATGCTCACGTGAAGCAGCAGATATGCAGCTCACATGTGGATTTACTCGCAGTGAGCTTAAGACCTTATTATCTTCCGCGAGAGTTTGGTCACGTGATCGTGCTGTGCATCGCACCCTCAGCTGATGCCACCGTTGCATGTGACCAGATCCACAGCGCTGTAAACAAATTACAGACTGAACACCCCCGCGCTCTCCTGCTCATCACAGGAGATTTCAACCATGCCTCCCTCAGCTCCACTCTCCCCACGCTCACACAATACGTCACATGCGCAACTAGGAACAATAAAACACTGGACCTTTTTTATGCTAACGTGAAGGACGCCTATACCTCCGCCCCCCTCCCCTCACTGGGACGTTCAGATCACAACCTTGTCTACCTGTCCCCCCATTACATTCCATTGGTGAGAAGGACAATAGCACAGAAGAAGTCAGTGAAAGTTTGGTCGGACGACGCCACTGAGAAGCTCAGGGACTGTTTCAGAACCACAGACTGGAGCATGTTTCAAAGCTCTCATGGTGAGGATATCAACAGCCTGACTGAATGCATCACTGACTACATGACCTTCTGTGTGGAAAGCATTGTGCCTACACGACGGCTACGATGCTTTCCAAATAACCCCCCCTGGATGACCCCTGAGCTGAAAGTCCTCCTGAACCAGAAGAAACAGGCTTTCTACTCAGGGGACAGAGAGGGGCAGCGTAGAGCTCAGCAGGAGCTCCAATGGAGGATCAGAGCTGCAAAGAAGGACTATGGGAGAAAGATGGAGGAGCAGCTGGCACAGAACAACGTCAGAGATGTGTGGAGAGGTTTGAAAAACATCTCAGGCTTTGGTGAGAGAACCAGCAGGGCTGCAGACGGTGACACCACATTTGCGAATGAGTTAAACCGCTTCTTCACGCGGTTTGACTCCCCTCACACTGCCCTCAACTCTCCACACCCCTTCAACCCCCAGCCCCCCAGAGACCTACCCTCCCCACCGCCGCAACTCCCACCAACCCCCGATTCATCCACACCTTCAGTCGGGCCTTCCTCCCCCCTGACAGTAACACCAAGGCAGGTGAGAGGGCAGCTGATGAGGCTGAAACAGAGGAAAGCCTCAGGACCAGACGGCATCCCCCCAAGGATGCTGAAGACCTGTGCAGATGAGCTCTGTCAGGTCCTCAGCTACATATACAACCTGAGCCTCAGCCTGGGGGTGGTCCCCACCCTGTGGAAGACCTCCTGTGTGGTACCGGTTCCCAAAACGCCACATGCCAGGGAACCGGCCCACTTCAGACCAGTCACCCTGACCTCTCAGCTGATGAAGACCATGGAGCGCCTCGTCCTCGCCCACCTTCGCACCGTGGTGAGCCCCACCCTGGACCCACTGCAGTTTGCCTACCGGCCCAACATCGGAGTAGAGGATGCCATCATCTACCTGCTGCAGCGAGCGCTCACCCACCTGGAGACCACCGGGAGCGCTGTGAGAGTCATGTTCTTTGACTTCTCGAGCGCTTTCAACACCATCAGACCGGTGCTGCTGAGGGGGAAGCTGGAGGACGCTGGGGTAGACAAACATCTGGTTGACTGGACCATTGACTACCTCACTGACCGTCCTCAGCACGTGCGGCTGCATGGCTGCCAGTCAGAGGTGGTACTCTGCAGTACAGGGGCCCCCCAGGGCACAGTCCTGTCTCCGTTTCTGTTTACCATCTACACCTCAGACTTCACCTACAACACGGACAGCTGTCACCTCCAGAAGTTCTCCGATGACTCGGCGATTGTGGGCTGTGTGTCTGAGGGGAACGAGCTGGAGTACCGGTCGGTCATCATGGACTTTGTGAATTGGTGTTCGAAAAACCCTCTGTGTCTGAACACCAATAAGACCAAAGAGATTGTGATCGACTTTAGGAGAAGACCACCACTCCACCCCCCAGTGAACATCCAGGGGCAGGACATAGAAACTGTACAAAGTTTCAAATACCTGGGTGTTCACGTGAACAACAAACTGGACTGGACTCACAACACCGACGCCCTGTATAAAAAGGGCCAGAGCCGCCTTCACCTCCTGAGGAGGCTGAGGGCCTTCGGAGTCAGCAGGCCCCTCCTTAAAAGCTTTTATGACTCTATAGTGGCCTCAGCCCTCCTCTACGCTGTCGTCTGCTGGGCCCCTGGCAGCACAGAGCGGGACAGGAAGAGGCTGAATAAGCTGGTGAGGAAGGCCACTTCTGTCCTGGGCTGCCCTCTGGACTCAGTGGAGGAAGTGGCTGAGAGGAGAGTGTTGTCCAAGCTCAGATCTATCATGGACAACACCTCTCACCCCCTGCATCGGACTGTAGAGGAGCTGAGCAGCTCTTTTAGTAAAAGACTCAGACACCCTGTGTGCAAAAAAGAGCGATACCGCAGGTCTTTCATCCCTGCTGCTACCGGACTGTACAACTCTGCACTTTAACAACTGCTGTGCAATTGTGTTATATGTATTGACCTGTGTAATATGTGTACTGTGTGTGAGCCCTCAATGATTGTATATATTTTAATCACCCAAATCTATACGCTGTGTTTCTTTCTTTGTATATTTGCTTGCTTTTGCTGTACTTTATGCACCTTTTCCTCCTTTTGAACCCTAACCGATATGTGACCAGTGAATTTCTCCACTGTGAGATCAATAAAGCTCTTATCTTATCTTATCTTATCTAAACAATCTTTGATTTTTCACAAACTGAATTAAGGGGCAGAAGAGTACAGTCATCCAAGATATTTGGCATCTCTATCGGGATATACAAAAGTATAACCATGGACCATGCTCCACTTCTGACCTAAAGACACAAAAACAATGATTACCTCCCATATCTCAAAGCATAAATCATTAAAACATTGATTCTTCCCACCAAAACAATATAGTTTGTATGTTTTCACATTTTTCATGTGTAACTGCGAGGGGGAAATGTGTGCAGGTTATCTCTCGTTTAGAGTTGAGCTAAATCTAAAACTACCTGGTGTTCTCACCTTATCGCCCCGAAAGTAGGAACATCGAGTTTTAGGGACAACTCCATCTGTTACAGTGCTACAGCATGGTGTTTCTAGTTTCAGCAGATTTGACGCAGCCATCGGCCATCTGTGACACGTCGCTACATATTCCAAATAGATTCTAAATGTTTCATATGGTCTGTGACAGGCTGGAAACCTGTCCAAGGTGTAAACTGCCTTTCACCAATAACAACTGGGGTAGGCGACAGCCGCCTCACAAACCAAATAGGAATTGGCACATATAGAAAAATAAATGTACTATATTTCAAACAGACATTAAATCTTCTAAAAGTCCTGAGAAGTCATGTTGAAAGTTGGTCATATTGACCGTTTTTAGTCTAACTTCTTTTGCAATGGCTTTTTGAAGCAAGGTTGAAATATGGGAGAGTCCCTTTAAAGAGTTTGTGCATAAAAGTTTGTGTATATTACAGAGAAATGCCTCTTGTTTGGACAGTCTTTAAAGCTGTATTCCATCAAATGGCCCGTGGTGGGTAAATTATGTGCTTAGCTGTTTGTAGGAATATGAGAGAAGTTTTTCATGTTTGCATCTTGCATTTTCATGTTTGTACATGTTTGTTCATCCAGCCTGTTCATTTTGGAAATGATTGTACCTTTGAAGGCAGGAAAACAGTTTTCCAGAGAAAAGGTTCAGTCCTTTGATAAGCATTGATTTCAGGTTTCTCAACAAAGTTTAACAAGCAAAAATATAAAGACCTGAAATGTTCATCCACAAAGCATTAAACAGTGCCGGATAATCACCCCTTTGTGTCAGTTTTTGCTTGATGAAATATTTGTCTTCTGGTTTTAAAAACCAAAATTAAAAAATACACAATCAGCAGTTGTTTTAGATGGGATTCTGCCCTCTTCTGCTGACATGGTTGCATGACGCAGTTAAACAAATCAAATTTAACTGTCAAAGTGTGGATTCATGTTGCTTTAATTAGTCTTTTATTCATTTAGGTATTTTGACAGTCAAAACAGTCAAAACATCAAAGAAGAAAGTTTCACCTAAGAAATTGAAAGTGGAAATAATTGAAAATTGTTGCCGTAGTATATTTAAAGCAGGATTGATAGAAGTGCCTAAAGTCAAAGTAAATATAAAAGTAGTTCCTACTGCTTTTATTTGAAGTTCCACTACTGATAATGCGTGTGATTTATTTTGCCACTATCATTTTAATCGCAAATGCATGCCACTGAGCTACAATGCGTGCAGTGTAGAATAGTAATAGTAAAATAAAAGCTCCAAAAAATTGTTCACACTTTAGCCTCAAACTCCCCAAAAGAAAGGAAGAATCAATAGATGACACTGTTAACAATTTTTACCAAGAAACAAAATCCCAGGCAATTGGTTATTCATGAAATGACAAGAAAGCTTTAAACCTCATTGAAAAGAAAAATAAGAAAATTTGTAAAGGTAGCAGCAACTTTTTCCATCAAGAATTTGTCTGTGGCAAACTCTGTATCTTCAATCCTAACCTTAAACTATTCCCTCGGAAAATAATATTATAAAAAAGCATAAATGTGAACAAAAATTGTAAAAATGAAAGGCCATTATAAATATTGAGAGAGGGTTTTCCCATTTCGTAAGTTTGATATACATTTTCATGCATTCTGGAAAGAGGTATATTCTGGCAAGAAGTCTCCCAAACTTCTTTTAAATTGACTGTTGGAATTGCCTGAATTAGTTAATTACTCTCTTATCTGTATTCCCTACATGCAAACATGTATCAAGAATTACCTTCAAATTTCCAAAATTTCAAAGTACAAACCGTACAAATGTGTTTATTTCAAAATATTGCTATTTACCTCAAATGTACAACACGGCCATGGAACCACAAACAGTAAAGTGCAAATAATTTGGCAGGTTAATGCCGGTATAAATTCAGTCTGCTTAGCCTGCTCACTCTTTGGTATTACAAGTTAGTGGATTTCATTTTTTATTTTTGTTTTTACCTTGCCCTGTTCAGCATTATGGCAGCAGATAGGCCTCACTGAGTTTCGCGTCAGTATACACAGATACAGAAGCAACCTACTTTATTGATTGTAACCTTTGAATAAAGATGATTGATGGAAATTATCACACATCTAATTCGAAACCAATCAGACTTTAAGATTAAACGGTTGGGGAGAGTTAGTTTGTCTTTGGTTTCATGCCCTCAGTAGAATTGCATGAACAAAAGTTTTTAGTGCAACGGAATAACTAGATATGATCACCAGTTTATTTCTGTAAAGGTAGAAGGGTAAGGGTTAGGGTTGAAATATGTAGGAGCATAACTATGATATTGACTCAAACATTGATTTATTTTATCAATGTTTTTTGCACTCTCCAACTTGCCAAAGTCACACTGAGAAATCGGTAGTGACAGGCTGTTCCAAAAATCCTTCATTTCACAATTGCGGAAAACACACAAGTGTCACTTCGTGGAGCAAAAAGGCCTCTAAAACTATAAAAACAGACAGATCTCTTCATCTACCCCACTGGCTGTTTGATTTCCAGATTTCCAGTGACTACCTTTAAACAACTAAAAATGATTTGGGCTGTCATTCTTCTTTGCTTGCTGTCCGTGGGCCATTCTTCTTCTTTGGCCTGCGAAGAGTTGGTTCGCCCTTTAAATCAACTAGATCTTCACCGTTTGGAGGGAACGTGGGCTATGGTTGCTGGCAGTCTGACTCCCGCGTTGCCTCAGAGTGCTTCTGTGAAATTCTTCAGCAACACCAGCGACAGCAACATTTCCTACACGCTCAGCATCCGTTTACATGGCAAGTGCCGTTACACTTCCTTCAACATCACCCTGGAAGGCAGCAGCTTCACCTTCGACGGGACGGATAAAAGCAACCTGAGCGCGAGCTTCGTCCACACGTCGTGCCCTGACTGCATGCTGATGTCCACCAGCTACAACTCGGGGCAGAGGCGGCACCTTTACCTGCTCAGCAAGAGAAGACAGGTGGAGGAGGCAGAGGTGGAAGAGTTCAGAGCTCAGGCAAAATGCTTGAATTTGTCTCCACCCGGTGTGATGGATCCTACCGAAGATCTTTGTCCAGAGCAGAAGACCAGTGATCCAAACAATCAAGCTGAAAAGAAAGCAGAGACCCAGGACTGAAATGCCTCACTGAGTTAACTTAGTAATTGAATAATGTGTCGACATCAATTAAATCACTTTTTCTGTTTTATTAATCTTTCATGGTATATTATGAAGCAAGGCATAAAGCAAGCAAATAAATAGTCATCAAAAATCAGTTACCTTAAGAATCAAACTGAAGAGGTATTAAAGGGACTAAATTCTGAAAACCCTCAATGTGTTTCATGTCTGCAGATACAAAAAATGTTTTGATGTAATTGATCTTCACTGTTATATTGATAAGACTAATGTTTCTAAATGAAACCTCATAATAAAGATGATTTTTGGAAAATATTGCATTTCTCATTCTGAGTGAATCACTGTTTAAGAGTTAGTTTTGTTAAAAGACTGGTTCTAAGTTCCATTTGATAAAACATACCAACCAGTAAACTTTCAGAGTTGTGTTGTAGTGAGTAAACTCAACGCTACAAAGGGACAGAACGGCTGAAAGTACAGTGCCCTCCACAAATATTGGCACCCCTGTGTGGTTGAGGACTTCTTTTAAAAAAAAAAACAACATAGAACCTGTAGTAACCGAGTGTCCAAGAATCGATCCATTCAATCCACACGGAGGCAGGGGACTTTAGTTGTCATTCTTTTACTTCAGGAAAATCATCCGGCAAAATACAACCGTTCCAACTGGAACGTCCCACACTGTAACTGGCCCCCCGGAGGGGCAACCCCCAATTTGACTATAGTTCCGTCCCTAATATTTCCCAATATATAACAGAACCCAAATGCAAAAAAAGAGAAAAATCCAACCTTTTATTTGAGTACAATACTTTGGTGGTAACGATAAAATCACACATTTAGAAAATGTGAAATCATGTGTCCCACAATTATTGGCACCCCTGATGTTAATACTTTGTACAACCCCCTTTTGCAAACAAGACAGCACTTCACAAGATTGGAGAACACAGAGAGAGGGATCTTTGACCATGTTTTGATCATTATCCTGCTGAAAGACCCAATGACGACCCATCTTCAGCTTTTCTGGCAGAGGCCATCAGGTTTTTATTTCAAATGTCCTGGTATTTCAAAGTGTTCATTATGCCATGCACCTTAACAAGGTTCCCAGCGCCTTTGGAAGAGAAACAGGCCCACAGCATCACAGATCCTCCACCATGCTTCACGGTGGGCATGGGGTGCTTTTCGGCATACTCATCGTTTGTTTTACGCCAGACCCACTTATAGTGTTTGTTGCCAAAAAACGTAATCAATCTTAGTCTCATCTGACCAAAGCACATGATCCCAGTTGCAGTCCCAAAGCCGCTTAGCAAACTCCAGACATTTACGTTTGTGAGTGTGAGAAGAAGCTTTTTCCCTGCATAATTATGTATATTCAATAATAAAGAACCATTTTCTCTGGATAAGATATATATATGATATATTCTCACAGACTCACATTGATTAAAACAAATATCTCAGTTACAAGGCTAAGAGAGAAAAGAAAATGAGCTATTTAAAAACATAGAAAATTTAGCTTTAAAATAAAAGAAATTAAAAAGCTTAATTCTTCTACAAACATAAAGTTCAGGAAATCAGACATTCTTGTGTGTTGCACTCTCCAACTCACCAAAGATAAGACAAAGATAAGACAAACTGTCAATCCAAAGCAATCATTGGTCACAGACTGTTCCTAAAACCCCTACATTTCACAACTGTGGAAACCACAAATATGAATGACCGTTTCAACCGTGTCACTTTGTGGAGCAAAAGGCTTTCTGAACCTACTATAAAACCAGAGAGATACCTTCACCTACACCATTGACTTTTTGAGAACCACACATTCATGACTGCCATTAAACAAGTAAACATGATTTGGGCTGTGTGTGCTGTCACTCTTGTCTGCTTGGTGTCCGTGGGCCATTCTTCTTCCTTGGCCTGTGAGGAGTTGGTTCGCCCCTTAGATCAATTGGATCCTCGTCATTTGGAGGGAACGTGGGCTTTGGTCGCTGGCAGTCTGAGTCAACTTCCATTTCTCGAGCGATTCAAACAGAGAGACAGTGCTTCTGTGAAATTCTTCAGCAACACCAGTGACAGCAACATTTCATACACTCGCAGCCTCCGTTTGGAAGGCAAATGCCGTCACAGTTCGTACAACATCACCCTGGAAGGCAGCAGCTTCACTTTTGACGGGACGGATAAAAGCAATCTGAGCGCAAACTTTGTCCACACGTCGTGCCGTGACTGCATGCTGATGCGTCTGAACGTCGACTCCGGGGTGAGGCTTCATTTCTACCTGTTCAGCAAGAGGAGACAGCTGGAAGAGACGGAGATGGAAGAGTTCAGAACTCAAGTCAAATGTATGAACATGCCTCCGCCTGTTGTGATGGATCCGACCAAAGATCTTTGTCCAGAGCAGAAGACCAGCAAGTCAGAAGAAAAAAATGAATAGAAACTGCAGTGCTGAGTACAGAAAAAAAAAACAATTATGGAGCTACAAATCAGTTTGGAATACAGACAAACAGTTACTGATATATCACCAAATGCTGAAATAAAAAGATTGAAAAATAACACTGATCTGGAATTTGTCATTCTGATCTTTCAACCTCTCTGTGCTTGAAAATAAACCTGATCTTTTTAGGTACAACGTTTGTTTTTTCCCCTTTTTAAAATTCATGTCTTATTTTGATCGCGTACAGTAATTTCTCTCCAATGTTCTGTGCATAACTGAATGGCACAGCGGCAAATAAAGGAAAGAAGAAAGCAAAGAAAAAGTGCAAAAGAATCCAAAATGGATATTGATTAGTTTGGCTCTAGATCATATTTGAAATAGGATATTATTTTATTAAAACAAAAACAGTGGTGTAGACATGGAAAAGATTAAATCTGTTAAATGTCCGCTTGTACTTCATTTTGTTTGCAAATCAGTTGAGAAAATAACATTTCTGTGAGGTACGTACCTATTTCTGATATAATAACAGGCATTTGAGCCTCAACTAATTTTTTTCTTTTAATTATTAAGGCTGGTAACGTAGTCAGAAGATACTCTCAAAGTCTTCTAGTTGATCATAAATTTCCAATAATTACAAAAATTACAGAAACAAAAGATGCCTGCAAGCAGAAACGTGGGCTTCAGGCAGCAATGCACAAGAAAACCCAAACATGATTGCTGTCCCCTTTACGCTTCTCCCATTAGGGGTCACAGTGTGTCAGCCCTGACTCACATGGTAGGTTTATGGTAGGTTTATGGTAAGGATTGTCCCTCCTGATAAAATCCTCACTTCTATCTGGGCTTGAGATCAGCACAAACAGGGCACAGGACGCCATGCCACATTGGATGCTGCATGGCATGCAAATGGGGGTCCAATGCCTCGCCCAAAGAAACCACGACATGTAGCCTTAGATCAAACCACTGACCTGCCATTTGCAGGCAACTCAACAAAAACAAAAACAAAATACGATTCTGGGCTGAAAGTCACTGCACGACCGCAGCTACACATGCTCCGACTGAAACGGTCATTAATGGTTTGTTGTTTTGGTTACATTCTTAAGCCCATTTTCTGAAAATATTCATTTAAATTCAGATTTGCTGGTGCAATTATAACAATTGTTTTCACATATGCTGTTCTACAGAGTTTATAGATTAATTTATATTCCTAAACAAAACAGATGGTTTCACTGGTTGAGTTGGCTGAAATAGCATCGAGTTTGTTGCAGAGAGCAGTATTTGCTGAGTCAGGAAAGAAGCAGGCAAAAAAGGTCAACTGCAGCAGATTTGAGGTACCAGTGAACAGAAGGAAGACCCCTGCTGATCTTCGGGTAGGGAGGAATGCTTCTAAATCAGAGTTACCACCACTACTGTGGCCTTAAAACACCCAGAAACCCCTTGGAGAGCTTGAACTGATGGAGGAGCCAAGTCAAACTCTATGTAGAAATCAATAGATTCAAAGTCTAATCACACCAAAAATATAACCCAAAGCAAGCTTGTGGGAACAGAAAGAAACTTTAGAAGTTAAGAACAAAATGACCTGAATAAAAGCAATCAGAGTAAGAATGGAAGCTGTCATCAAGACCAATGGAGGCAAAAAGGACAACTTAGCTATTTCAGATTTTTATTTAACAGATAAACAAGCAACACTTTTGTGTTTAAACCAATAGACTCATGTAAAAACAACATGTTACTTTAAACCTTTGAAACTTCCTAGTTTTCTTTGGACTGCCACATCGCTTTGTTAGGGAAGGAAATGGGTCATGGTTAGTTCTAAAGATAAAAAATAATAATAAAAAAATGACAAGGACATTGTAGCCACCATCTTACCAGTGTTGTGTTCTCTTGAGTTAGTTACACGTGTCTGTTTCTGCCAGCCTACACATAGTCCACATAGAAGGGTTTGCGGACTCATCAGCTTGACAAACATTGCACAAACCATTATCCTAAGTTTTTGTTCAGTTTTTGTTTATCCTACTACTTAGCCGGTGTTTTTTAAAAACTCTTTATGCGTAACTTTTTATTTGTATTGGATCAACCCCGTTATCCTGCTGTCACAGTTAAAGAAGAAAAAAAGAAAAAGAAAGTGGCTGGTTCTTGTGCAAAGTGGTTGGCCAACTCCACTTTCTGGCATTTCCAGAATTGTGAAATGACGAGTTTCTGACAAGTATATAGCCATGAAGGTATCCAGGTTTTTCAAAATCTGTCACTGAGACTTTCCATGCATAATTCAGTAGTTAATTATGATCAAAATGAACAGTATTATATTGGCTATGTCCATTGTGGTTCTCATCTGCTTGACATCTCCGGGCCATTCCGCACCCTTGGCCTGTGAGGACTTGATCCGGCCTTCGAATCAACTCGATCTACATCATTTGGAGGGTAGGAGGGCTATGGTTGCTGGCAGTCTGAGCCATCTGCCTTATTTTGAGGGACTCAGACTCAGACACAGCGCCACGGCTCAGTTCTCCGCAATCTCCAACGGAACCGGCATTCGCTTCAGTCGCAGCAGGAGGTTGGATAACAAGTGTCACTACGCTTCTTACAACATTTCCCTGGAGAGCAGCAGCTTCACCTTTGATAACGGCAGCGTCAACACCACATTCATTCACACATCCTGTCGCGACTGCATACTGCTGAGCTTCGACGTGGAGTCTGGGAAGCGGCAGCATTTTTACCTTTTCAGCAGCAGGAGGAAGCTGGAACAGGAGGAGATCGAGGAGTTCAAGGCCCAGGTGGAGTGTTTTAACCTGCCCCCACCTGTTGTGATGGATCCGACCAAGGATATCTGCCCTGAACAGGCTTCAAGTGATGCATCATCTAAAAGCGAACAAAATCCTGCACCACAGAAGGACTGAAAAATAAAAAAAAGAATATCCTTTATCTCATCTGCATTTTTGTTTTGGACTTCTGTGGCTCAAAGAATTTTCAACAAGTTGGCCTTTCACCGCATAAAAGTTTCATCATGTTTAACTGAATTTCTTTATGAAACAAATGTCTTTTTCAAACAGATGTACCATTTTGTAAAATTAAAAAAACATAAGCAAGAAATATTGTGTGTATTTGGGTTCATATCCTCTTTGCTTGAGGGAGGTTTAAAAAAATATTTTAAAACTTGTTTAAAAGTCACAATAACTTATTTTAAAAAGTGATGGAACGATTTAGTTGGTTTTTCCTGACCTTCAATTTGTGATGTAGTTAACATTAAGGTACCTGCTCTTGGATTACTTTTTTTTTTCAAAATGACCATGAAAAGCTAAATCCATTACAAATTGTGTTATAAGTGTATTTTTAAAATCAGCACAATCTTCTTGTAGATCTGTATGGTAAATGTATGTATCTGTACAGCATGATATATACATTTTGACATGTAAAAATAAGATACAAATAACCAGGTACAAACATAACTTTACATATTTAGAAGCAGTCTCTCTATGTCGACACTAGACTCTACACAAAAACTTATAGATAAATATGAAATAACAGGATTTTACCAAGTAAAAAGCAAAAAGATTACACATTTTTACTGATCACATGAGCCTTTTGTTAGACTTTTCCCACCAGGCTTTGGATTCAAGTGCTTACAACATAATGTATTGGTAAATGTTTAACCCGTTAAAGCCTGATCCAAGAAAAATAGGAAGAATACTGGACTTTTTTGGTCTGAAGCCTTTCTTTGGCCCCTCAACAACATATGAAGAAAAAAAAACAGAAATGATTTTGATCAAATTAACGTGCAATAAGTCAAAAATATATTTTCCTGTTGTCTTTTACTGGCTGTTATCAGGTATATCTGAATGAGTACAACAGGGGTTTGAGCAAAGCTTTTACCATTGAATGATTCAAAAAGTCTCAGATCCAAAAGACTTCCGAAACTGTATGTATCAAATATGATACATTTGGCATTATAGGCTTAATGAGCCCACAGAAAAGGGCTCTAATCAATTGCTTGCCCCAGAACATGATATTTGTTTCACAATCACAAACAAACAAGCAGAGGGGACTCTGATCTGTAGATTTTGTATTATGAAACCACAGGTCTTTAAACTATAAAAACAGCTGGGCTGCCCTCACTGTCTCATCTTTTTCACTTTACCACCAGAGCAGCAGTTCATAATTCAAAATCATGTTTGCTTTGTGTTTCATTGTGCTCGTCTGCTGGGCGTCTGTGTCTCATTCAGCTCCTTTGTCTTGTGAAAACTTGATCCAACCTTTGGATCAACTTCAGTTTGATTCTCTGAAGGGCGGGTGGAGTTTAGTTTCGGCCAGCGTGGCCGACCCAGCGCAACTGGAGAGCCTGAAGCAACGAGACAGCGCAAGGGTTCTCTTTGCCAATCACAGCGACAGCTCCATGACCTTAACGCGCGTCTACGCTTCCGACGACAACTGCCAGTACACGCGGTCCAACATCACACTGGAAGGCAGCGGCTTCAGCATTTCTCAGTTCAATGTCACCGTGACCGTCCTCCGAACCTCGTGCCCAGACTGCACCGTGATGCGCTTCAACGACAAGGCCGACAAACCGGTCCGACTGTACCTGTTCAGCAAGAGGAGGGAAGTGGAGCCACAAGTGATGGAGGAATTTAAAGCCCTGGCTGAGTGTCTCAAGATGTCCGCGCCCGTTGACATGGATCCTACCAAGAAGCTTTGTCCAGAAGAGATGTAAAGGGATTGAGCCACTGACGAGGAAACCGAGGGGACCAAACGAGGCCTAACAGACTGCGACTTTTTGTCACAGCGGGTAATGATTCAAATAAACGTTCATGGATTAGAGGTTACAGCATTAATAAATTATGTGGATTCCGTGGGTCACAGTCAAAACAAGATGTATATCATGTAAACAGATAAAATACAATCAATGAGATTAGTATTATTTAATCTTATTCAATCAAAAGGATATGATGTGGGTTTATGATTTTGAGATTATGAAAACATTGAAGTGCTGTTGCCGTGACAGATGTTGTAGAATAAATACATTCCAAGAATGCTAATTTTGCTGTATTTTTATGAATGATAAAGAAGATATGCAAAATGACCATGTGTGTTTTCCTCATTTCTAACTTCCATTAGCAAAATAATCTTTTACTTCACTCTCTGCCACATTGCTGTCTCCATCTCATATTGCAGTGTAATTGTTTGTTGCATTGAATCTCATGAATGTCTTTATAAGATCTACACAAAATGACTTGCACATCACAACTTTATTATTGATTTTAGCCAGACTCAAAACATTCACCTTAGCAATTTCTAACATTTCCCATTTTTCAAGAATATACATATGAGTCTTGTTTTGTTTGTTTTTTAATGTGTGATTCTTATAGCTCAGACATTAACAATACCAGTCAAAAATCTGAATGTACTTCCAAACATTTTAAATAAGTAGGTGTGCAGCCCTTTCAAGCCTTTGGTTTCTGGAGACTTGTTATTGGTGTGATAACAGGGATAACTGCACCATGTCCAAATAAGACTTATGTTAAAACAAAGAAAAGGATCACCAAATAATTTAAGTTTAATTAACAGCAGTATAGAACAAAGCAAACATGCTGACTAGTGGTAAATGTCAACCAAATGTTACAAAATATTTAACACTGTTGGAATCAAGCTATCTTGATTGCTATAATTCTGAAACAGTGAACATTGATGGTCATCTTACACTAAATTAGTACAATGGTGTTTTATTCGAAAACTTTGTTCAGTGTGAAGATTTTGTTAAATTGATCGATTTAAGAAGAATTTGAAGATGAAGTGAGAAAGAAGTTAAGAAATTTTCCAAGAAGGAAAAAGCATAGACTTTCAAAAACAGAGCAATAACATGTCTTAGGCTTCTTGATGTTTTTCAGTGCCCAGTTCTTTACAAATCTCATTGTTGGGATCCATGACAACAGGTGGAAGCATGTTCAGGCACTCCACTTGAGATCTGAATTCCTCCAATTCCTTTGGGTCCACCTCTCTTCTCTTGCTAAACAGCCACAAGCGTTCTGCTTTTTTTGAACCGTTGTCAAAGCGCATCACCACACAATCTGCACAAGATGTACAAATCAAAGTCAAAGTTGTTTTTATCTGATGTCGTACATCGAAGACGATGGTGCTGCCTTTGAGGGTGACGTTGTAAGTGCCGTAGTGGCACTTTCCACCCATATGGACAACGGTCGTATAGGTAATGTCGGAGCTTGACGTCGCATTGGAGATGTAAATATTGGAGCTGTTCCTAAATTTGAAGAACTCCAGGTGCGCTGGATCACTGAAACTGCCTGCAACCAAATCCCATCGGCCCACCATATGATGAAGATCCGGCTGATCCAAAGGCCGCAGTAAGTCTTCGCAGGTCAGAGAGGCTGACAAACCCACAGGCAGCAAAACGAGGACAGTGACAAACACCACAGCAAACATATTCGTACTGGAGAACATCATGTTTTGTTTTTTTAAAGGGATTGTCCACCTTCACTTTTCTACCAAGTGTTGCCTGTTTTATAGCTCAGATTGTCTATGAAATTTCCATTATTTCAACACATTAAGAAAAAGTCCAGTCACCTTTGAGTTGCGTGGTTAGCCTGATTATTTCAGATTGAGCAATATTTGTATTTGAACAACTGCAATGGTGTTTCCACATGAGGACGTCCTTGAGTTTGAATAACTGTGCAAACATGAATGCCACCAGATTTACTTCTACAATTATCACATATTTTAATGCACGTGTGTATACATTCTATATTCCACTTCATCATAATCGGATATCTCTTTAAGATTCAAGACTCTTAAGCTCTTACAGAAGAAAATCATTTTAAAAGATACTTAATGTAGGAGAAAAACTGAAAATATATTAGCAGAATTAGAGATAAAATAGATAGCTGAAGTACTTTTGACTGATGTGTTTGCTGATCTCAAAAGGACTAAAACATAAGAAGTTATATTAGGACAAAAATAAACTTTTCTTTGTTCCAGAGGGTTAGCTTTTTTCGCAGGAAATACCAGAATGTTCAAAACAGCCAGATGTCATTGAACATAATGATATGTTCCGCATATAATTCCCGTACAAATGGTTTTTATTCTTGGAATGACGAGATTCCCTAAAAAATATCTAAATGAAAGGATCAAAGGAAAATCTTTAAAAAATAAACAGACTTACGTCAGTTGCATAATCATGGAATCCACATTTGCTGGAGACTAGCAATAATGACCTCATCCTGTGTGGAAAAAGGGGAATTTCTTGATTCCAGGTACATAGTATAAATTGACATGCTGGCTCACTAACATCCAAGTTTGGAGCGAGTCAACAGCTGAAACCATTTCATTCAAATCCAGAGGCTGGATCCAATCGTAGTTGTCTTTGGCTTAGAGACACATGTCCATCTCAGAGCAACAGCAAACAGCAAAGCAAAAGCTAAATGTCCACTCGCGGAGAAATGTTTGTTCTCAGCATTTTCGCTGTTTTCTGTTTGCTCTCTGTGAGCCGTTCGACTCCTCTCGGCTGTGAAAAACTGGTTCTCCCTCTGGAGTCAATGGTTTCCCATCATTTAAACGGTAGATGGGCTTTGGTTGCAGGCAGTCTCAGCAACGCACCGGCCATGAAGGCCCTGGGACAAAGAGACAGCATCACCATGTACTTCTCCAACTCCAGCGACGTTTCAACATTTTCTTACACCCAGATCAACCGCTTCGGTGATGAGTGTCAGCACCTGGCCTACAACATCTCGGTGGAAAACAGCACCTTCACCTTTGACGGGGGGAATCGCTTCAATCTCAGTGGAGCATTCCTTCAGACTTCCTGCTCAGACTGCCTGGTGATGAAGTGGATTGTGCGGTCAAAGAGGAGGCATTCTGTTGAACTGTACCTGCTCAGCAGGAGAAGGGAGATAGAGTCAAGAGAGATGAAGGAGTTCAGAGATCAACTGGAATGTCATCAGCTGCCCGAGCCCGTTGTGATGGATTCAACGAAAGAGCATTGTGAAGCTCGGACTGAGGAGGTGAGCGATCAAAAAGCAGGAAGAACAAAGTAATATATTTTTCAGTCGCAGAGATTATAAAAGATTATCACTGTAATGTATTATGTATTATGTAATGTTGCTGTAAGGCTGTAATGACATGTACTAGAAAGGCCTTCTTTCTATTTGTTTGTTTTGTTTTTGTTTTTCAATCATGGAGCTCCCTTCAATCAGCCATCGACTGCTGCCTGAGGAGAGAAACTTGATGTGATTGAATGTAGAGAATTTGGTGTTATTCCTTTTCTGTCACCGAAATAAACAAATGTAATAGTTGTTTTGACAGAAATAGGCAAGCTCCAATGCAGAAGAGAATTTCAGTGCTTTACCATGCCTTGCATTTGTCTTCTATTGGTTCTCAGTTTTGTTTCTCAACATGTTGGGATGTCCACTACTAGTGGAGTTATTATTATTATTATGCATCCATCTTATAATTTGAAACTATAGCTTGCACATCTCTTAAAAGTGTGATTATTCTTTTCTAAAAATGACATATATGACACAAATCTCTGTTGAGGGCTGGTAACTGGTGATTAGTTAATTGAATATTGACTAAATATATGAACACATAAAGATATTAATCATACAGTACCACATTCCAATCTTTTATTACTTGAGCTGTAATATTTCTTTCAGTAGTGAGATAGGAGCTAAAGGTTATGAAAACACATACACCAAAAGAGACCACCAAAAACAAGGTGATTCATATAATTGACAAGCCAGCAACTAATGTATCTTATGTGAAGTAACAAGCTTTGAGGTTGACAGATTTAACTGAGTAAAGTAAATCATTTGATCGAGGTGATTATCAACTTGCAAGAAAACACGACAAAACCCAGTGAAAATAATTAAATTATTGAAATTCCTTTTTTTTATTTATTTAAGAATGAGTATGTATGCTAAATAAATGATTGTAGTCAATAAATAAATCTCAAGAATTTCCTGCAAAATGTCCTTCCGCAAGTTATCAAGTTATTATCTGTGTTCTTCAGCTAACTGTGTGCTGTAATGTGGTTGTGGAAGAAAAAGAGGACCCGAATGCTGGCACAAATCTCGAGACGTTTAACTTAAGTTTTAAAAAAATTTAACATAAACCTTTTTTTTTTTTTTTCCTGAATTACAGACAAACAGCGAACATAATGACAGAGAAGAGCAAAGATGGATAAAAACAAAGATCTGGCAATGAACACTGAAAACTAGGGCATGATGCTGGGATTGGTGATTGCTAGAATAGTATAACTAAATAGGTAACTAAACTAAGATTTAGAAAACTAAAAAGAATGTTGAATCAAACCAAAGAACATGAACAAACCAGGAATAAACCAACAAAACCAGACCACAGAAAAATAACTGCATAGAAGTGCTTTAGAATCATTTTATGTAGTAATGTAATTTAACAGTTACCTTGAGCACCCGGATAACTTAATTGGCCAAATTTTCACTAAATGCTTTTTAATTGTTTTTGTTGTTGGACCACTTCCTTACTAAGTAATGTGATACAATATTATTTGTCCTATCTGACTTGTTACTTCAATTAGATTCCACTTAGTATTATACATTCTAAAATGATACAATTTATAAAGAGCCAGTAGAAATAGAATACTTAGTGTTCCAAACCAACAGATGTGAAAAGTAAATAACAAACTCTTTTGGCAAACTCTTTGGGTGACTGTAGCTCAGGAGGAAGTGGTGACCTACCAATTGGAATGTTGGTAGTTTGACTCTGTGTTTCTCCCAGGCCACATGCTAAAGACTCCTTGGACGAGACAATGAACCTCACTTGTGGGTGAATGGGAGAATGTGGCATACATTTTGATACACTTTTTATTTTAGAATTAAAGTTGTTTCATCGTGAAGTATTACATCTGTGGACCAGTTTTTACGCATCACCCTGAGACATGGCTTGATCTGGATTTTTGTAATGTTATGAAGATGTGAAGAAATAGTCAAGGCAACAGGTTTTATGCAAATTTGATTGGCTATTCTTCTCACTGTATTACTAGAAGATGATATGCCATCTGGATTTTGTTTAAAAGACTAAAATGGCAGATTAGATTGTTCTTGAATTTAATCTGTATTATCTTAATCTCTCTGAATATCCACTTTTGGAGTTCCCAGGTCTAGTTCTGAATTATTGCATTTAAGTTTGGCGTTTTAAACCTGCACAATTGAAATAATCAAATAATTTTGAGCCCTCTTGAAGGAGTTTGATTTGGATAGATGTCTGTGATTCACTTCATTCAGAGAGGACGTATTACTCCTCATACATCTCTTTGTCTGGGATGTTGAAATAAAGCAGTTTATAAAAAAAATACTTTTATTCAAACAATATCTCCCCTCTTTTTCCCCTTCACCTGTAAGCATTCTCATCACATCAACCCATATCTGTCTCTTACATAGTCATTCACTTACATGATCTAATGGTAAATGTGTGTTGCTCGCTAATTGGATTAGTCCCATTCATTTTAAAATCCACATAAGCCCCAAGTGCACGTACTTGTGCGTGCACACGTGTTCTTTCTTGTTAGCCTGATAGTCAATGTGAGAGCTGGGTATGCAAATGTGGGTTCACACGAATAGCGCACTTGCAGTTGTGGTGCGAACAAAGGAGGAGATCCAGGCAGTGAGAGCTTTGAGCATTCCATTTTCATTTGTTGCTGGTGAACTGCAGCAAGTTATGTATCATGTCATTTGGAGGGAGTGTGAGCACAACTAATTAACAGGTATGTACAACCACACATACTAGGATGTGAGTAGGCTCCAGCTGATGTAAACATTCATATGTACATATATTTTCACATTAGAATTATATAAATTGGGACCGGAAGAGGAAATTAATGCAGTGACAGAACAGAACAGCCAGCTGTGACTGAGCAACATTTTTGCCACAGCAACTGAAATAGATCAAAGGAAGTGACTGAACTAGGAACCAGCAAATTGTTAGATAGGAACAGCATTGTAATTATGCATGAAGTTTGATTTATTTATTTTAATTAATTTACATCTTTGCCAAAAGCTCTTGAATATCAAACAACCTAAGGAAACAGCTGAGCCAAAAAGAAGGGAAAAACACATCTGTAATTTAAATTGTGATAGGGGTTTTAATTATGGTAGTGTTTTTTCTTATTAAAAACAAAGTTTGAATCTGAAATTGATTAATGAAAAAGTTTGGGAACAATTATTTCAATTCTGCTATAGCTGTCACTTCAAATAATAAACCAAGCAGTATGTAATACTAGATGTATAACAGATATTGTTCCTTCAGGCAAATTGCATAAGAGTTTCACTGGGAGGTTCTCACCCAAAGAAAAAGGGGTCAGATTACCTTAGTGCTTCCCTATATAAAGCAGGCTTTGCTGGGTTAAAGGAGTTATTGTTTCAGTTTGTTTTAATCTGCAGGTGTAAGTGAATAAGAATTGTGACACAGAGATTTTAGGAACAGATTAAAGAATTACTACAGCAGCCTTCTCAGCAGGATTTTGTTTCATAATAACACTCAGTGTTGATAACCCTCTGTCAATTAGTATGAACACATTTAATCTATGCAAGTTCCTTTCAACAATTGTTCAAGAAGGTGGAAAATAATTTACACAGTTAGTATTTGATCATGAATACTATCACCATCTGTTTTTGTTTAATATCATATATAAAATGAGAACAGATTATTTTTCCTCCTTTAACTGTAACACAACTCTTTTGGCATGCTAACTTCCCAAATCTCCAACCTGCCTCATGAGTGTGAATTCATCCAGAATACATTTTATAATGGGAACTGAATGGAGCATACTGTTCACACAAACTAATAAGGTACTTTTGGAATGAAACAGCACAAAAATGGTCACGCTATAGGCTACATGTACAACAGAATATGTTATGTTAAGCATCGAAATATATTTGCTTTTTCAGGATTTTAAACCAATATTACAATGGTGTGCTGAACCAGAACCAATGACAAACCTTCTGTGCATGCTTTGGCTTCATTAGGAAGCTAGTTCGTATTGACCTATTTACACTGTTGTTATTATTGCAACAGTGTTCCCCATGCTTCCTTCCATGCCCTGTTGATAATCTTTGTAATCTCTACATTTTGTTTCTACATCCAGCCCTGGTTATCAAATATTGGCTATTCTAAAAGCTCTTATCCACAATTTCCCTTAAAGATAATTTGCTCTGTTAGAATCGAACCCCATCTGATAGTTTTGGCGAGGATCACCATAGATATCAATGGGAATTTCATTGGATGCAATAAGTGCCAGTGTTTCTATAAGAGTGATTAAGGGGCATTGATATCACTGCAGGGCAAATCTGTAAATGTAAAAGTAACTAAAGAAAAATATGGAGAGCCAAACTCTCCGTTTTATCTGCAGACAATCCTATTGTTATTTTATGGTTTCATTAGGCTTGTGTGTTTGTGTGTGGGTGTATGTTCTACTAAGCCAGTCCCAGCCTCTAAGATGATTAGGTGTGCTCAGCAGAAAACTTTGTATGTTGCATATGGAGAGAAGTAGCAACCACTTCAGAGCCTAAGTCCAGATCAGTGTTAGCTCAACCTGCTCATTAAATAGTAGCACACTGTCTCAACATTTTCTTTCACACATTCGTGCAACTAAAGATTGGTCTAACCTATAATATGATTTCAGCTAATACATTGGTGGATAACATAGGTCATGCTTAAGACAGTTTAGACTCTTTTCATGTGTTGTTCCCCTACGGTGCAATGGCCTACCAAGAACTACAAGAACAAGGGCATCCTTCAAGAAACTCTTGAAAACCTAGTTCTTCAGAGAGCATCTCCTAGCTTTACACTTACCCTGTACCTCCCCACTTTTTCTGTCTGTACTTCCCTCCATCTGTACTTGTTATAACCTGAACCTGATTTCCTTCTATGTAGATTATTGTTAGCTTTTATGTTAACTGTAATGTTGTAACTGCATTGGAGGTCATTTTGATTCAAAGCATCTGGTAAATCCATAAACATAACAAACTTTCATTTTCTTAACCGCTTGTTACCAAATGGGGTTGCAGGGAGACTAGAGCCTAATCCAGTATGCAATTGGCAAGAGGCAGGGTACATCCTGGACAGTCTGCCAGTCCATCAAAGGGCCACACAAAGACGAACAACCACACACACTCACCTTAACACCTAAGGACAATTTGGAATGTCCAATCAACCTAACAAACGCATGGAGAACATTCACACTCCACATACGTCTTGGTTCCCCAGGGTACTCGAACCCAGAACCCTCTTGCTGTTAGGCGATGATGCTAATCACCATACCACGTGCCCGTATGGGGATCCCTACACAAATACAGGCTTCTGACAACTTGCAGCTTTAGAATAATGGGCCTGCTAGGTGTCACAAAGACCCGAAAAGTTAGAATTACTAAAAAAGATGAATTGGTGGCAAGTGGATGTTAGAATTTGGTAGTAATTACTCACTTTAGCATAATATGCCATAACATGATCGATGTAACCTACTGGTTGCTGTATTCCTTGTAGAACTATTACTTTGTGTTAAAATCTCTGGCTGTGTCCAAAGTCTCTGTTTTCTTTCTCTGATTGCATTAGATCCACACCATTTGTTATCACATTCCATCAGGTCAACACAAACACTCACCATTGTTACCACATTTCAATGTTATCTGCATTAACTAGGACCTGGCCGGTTCATGTCAGGATTAGGGTTAGTAAGTAACTGGCCAATAAGCAGTGTCCAGTCCTTTTTTAGGGGTGTGCCCAGCCCGGAAGACAAATACCCATGACACACGGAGTTTGGGGCTCTTTGCCGACTGAGACCCTGAGAGAGAGGTTTTGTCTGTGAAGAGCCCAGTGCTGATATACTTTGCCTGTGACCCAATAAATGTAATCTTTATACTTTTGATCCACTCTGGTTTATTCTCAGGTTTCCGAGTAAAGAATCGGGTTAACATGGAGAACCAGTGTCTGCTGACTAGTTAGCAGCACTAGCTAACAGTAGCTAATCTAAAAATTTCAAATGCTTGGCTTCCACTTTTACCCTCATCACTATTTCACACTATTTCACATTCTTTACTGTTGGTTTAATGTCTCGTAGCCATAAGACATGAACAGAGAATAAAAAGAAAAATTAGAACCCTTTCATGCATATAAATGATTTGTGAAGAAGTGGTAAACACCACCCGCCTTTGTGTTTTTTTGATGCGGCTGTAAATCAGGGAAACAACTGTGTGACATTTGGAAGGCTGAGATTAGCCTTTAATCTTTTCTTAATATTTTAGTTTTTATATACAACAGGCAATAGTGTATTTTGATCAAATACAGCAACCCCGTAAATGTAATCAACCTCTAATGGCTAAACTTGGAACATAGGCCTACTTTATCACTTGTCTCTTATACTTTGCTGAGGGTCTATGTAGAGATTCATACAAAAAACCTTTCCTCTTGAAGAACACTCTTGTATGGCAAATTCCAACTGTTAAGAATTGATTTATTAGGTTTAAAATGAGTCTTTTTAATATTGTGACTTAGTTTCTTTCTACTCAAAAAAGATCAAGAGAGTTATGAAAACATACACATAAAAAGAGAGGTCTTAACATTTCAGCTCCATCTCACAATAAATGTCACAGTGAATGTAGATGATAAGTCAGTCAGTGGAAAGCAATTCATTTGACATGCTGTTTATAAAATGACTAACAATGTTGATGATAGTTAATGTTGATACACTGCTAATGACTTTTTCCCCTTAATTTCTGTGGTCTTCAGACTGAGAAGAAGTGGAAGCCAACCAACAAGATTGCTCCACCATCACAAGATTTGATTCCATGGCAACAAAGCCCACTGCCTGGCAGGAGCAGGATCCTGTTGACTCATTAGGCATTTTTCAGGGTGAAGAGCGCCAAAGCTCGCCTGTGCAACATAGAAAAGCACCCAAGGCAATGCCTGAGGAAGACATAGAAACCCTGGAGCCTGAAGCTGATGTCAAAGCACCACAGAAGATAAGCACAACAATCAAAACAGTGGATGCAAAAGAAATGAATCAGGAATTCACAGGAATTTTCCAGAACCCAAGAGAAACACAAAAGGTTGACCATGAATCGCAACAAGTTTACAAAAAGCCTTTGGGAGAATTATTTACCCACAAAGAGCCTGAAGAGCTGATTGATCTTGGAGAGGATGTGTTTCCACCTCCACCTTCTTTCAGTGCCTTATCAAAGGTAGAATGCTATGATAAAGAAGGCTTCTCTACCCTCGAAGTGGAAGTGGCAGAGTGGATCAGTGATGTTGAGTTCATCTCTGACTCTACAGATGACTTTACCCTTTTTGATAGCCAGAAGAGCCAGGAACGTTCAAAACTTCATCGATCTCCAGCTGATCAAGAGGTAGATACAATATCAAGCAAAACAGACAACAACATGTCTCAATCCTCACAGAACTCTCACATTGATGGTAAATACCCAGATAATGTGAACTCCCCTCCTTTTGTAGATGAAAGTGAAGAAGAGGAAATGGAAATTGATCTAATGGCTTCTCAGCAGCAATGGAATACTATTGATGTGAGCTGCAAGGATGTCAAGCCTTTACGTTCAGCTAATCGAGAGCCATGCTCAGCCGTGCATTCAGTTACCTCAGTCAGACATGGGGAGGAGCTGTTGCTACAAAAGCACTGTGGCCTGGCGTCCAAGGGAGTAAACCAGGAAGCTTCACAACAGGTGTTTGATCATGCATCTCCACTTGTGTCGACTGTTTCCATGGAGCTGTCCAGTTGGGGCGGGGCAAACCCTCAAGGCTGTGTTTGTGTTGTAGCGGAGATAGATAGGTGCAGCAGGGTGGGGAAGAGGACAGAGGGAGAATATGAGCAAACAGGTGGAGTGGAAGGGAAGAAAGACAGCAGACTAGAAGAGAACAACCCAGTCAGACAGCCACGCAGCAGAGGACTGTTAACAGTCCAAACACAGGAGCTCAAGACTGAGAGATATAGCAGTGGTATCACTCTTGAACAAAGCAGGCAGACCATAAAGGACAGAATGGAGATTGACATGTTTGACAATAGCCAGAGTAACACTGGACTATCAACAGACTTCTCATCACAAAGCACATTGGAGGACACCGCCATCTCAGTCAACTCTCAGGCAGCTTTCTCCCGGGAGACTCCAATTGAGAGGGAGATCCGACGCGCAATAGAGCGTGAACAGAGCCTGCGAAGGTCCAGAGGGCTTCCGAAACCACGTACCGCTCCAGAGTATGTAGAGATTCCTTTAAGAAAAACTGTTCTCAGCCAGTCGCTAATTTCTAAGTCTGAGTGGTCTCAAGACAAAGACAGGGATTTTGCTGGCAAAAAGATGCTGCATGAGATCCACAAAGAGGCTCGGAGAGAACAGGATCTCCTCAAGGTTGGAATGATTCCAGGTACTTATGAAAAAGGTACGGTCCACCAAATAAAAGAGAAGAAAAAGCTTTTTGAGGACTTTCAAACACCTCACAACTCTGCTTACTTGATCTCAGAAAAAAGTAAGACCCGGTCCTGGTCTTCTGGTAGTATTAACAGCAGTAGTAGTAGTAGTAGTAGCAGTAGTAATAGTAATTCAACCCTGGAGAATCAAGAGGATACAACATCACAAGAATTGACCCTCGGACACTCATTTGTGGACAGCAAACACAGCATAGGCCAGCTGAATCACACACAGAACCATGGCTCTTCAAAAGGAGATCTAAGGGACTCAACTTTCAAAAGACAAGTTTCTTCTGGGGGGATAGGAGGTCGACTCATCATAATGGAGAGTAACCCCAGCATTCCAACACAGATGCACCACCAAGTCAAAGCAGAGACAGGGGCCATTGCTGCTGTTGATTCTGAAAGTTCTTACAACTCGTCCTATCGAGCCAGAGGACACGATCCACTGACAGCGAGAGAGCAGGAGAAGGAGGAGAACCCCTTTTTCAAGCTACGACCCTCGACCAATTTAGTTAAAGTGAAGCAGGATATTCTTCAGGCTCAAGAGAGGGAGAGGGAGATTCAGAACCAGAGGATCAGTCTATATGGGGGCGGTGAGGGCACAAGAGCAGAAGGACTGCAGCTAATCAGCTCGGAAGGAGATAATTCAAAGATATCTACTTCAAACGAAGGACCGATTGTCCCTGCTTTATCTGGATCAACATCAAAGGGTGGAATTGGACCCTCTGCAGGTTAGTATAACTCAGACCTCCTTGTATGAGTGCAGTTTACTGTAGCTGGTATCCATAAACACACAAAGAAAGTGTGCGCATTTGTACTTGTCAGTCTTTCAAGGAATGGCTGCCTTCTGACTGTACTCTTATCAATTAACCTTTCCAAGTGTGAATTACTTTTGCTTGATTTAACAGTCACCAAACTGAAATGTAGCCGTCCCCAAACCAAAATTGGAGTTTGTTGATAACAGTCATGTGTGATTCAGGATCCTTCAAAATCAGACAGAGAGATAAAAATTTTGAAACTCATCGTCACAAATTTCAGACTGCTCTTTTTTTAATTGGTGTTGTGTGAGGAAAAACCATTTATGTATTTACACATCCTCTTTTTTTCCCTTTTGTTCACAACTGTAGTTTGTCCCACATAATAGGACAGATGGAATGGGAGGGTGAAGCATGGGGTACTCATAATATATATATATATAAAGGTACACCAAAATGAACATATAAGGATAACAGACCTCACTTTATATAACATAAGAGCTGGGAACAGCAGTATGTTTGAATAGGAGCTAGGACAATAAAAGGTGTGCTGTGGCTTTTTTGACTGTATAAGAATAAGATTAATCAAAATGTCCCCATTGATTCAGTAAGAGAGACTTAAACTCACCAGGGTTTGCCATGTAGCATTTTTTATTAACACAACTTATTGCAGCAAAAAAGTAATTGGTTAGCACAAATTAGGTTGCATGCCATGCTGCTAATTTTTGTTTCTTATTCACCATTTCTTGTCTTACATTTCTTTTTCCAATCATTTTCCAATCATTTCTGCTTCCCTCATTTCTTACCAGGAGGAAGCTAATAATTTAACAGCAACAGCTGGGCTTACGCCATTACCTGCCATTAACCACTTCTGTCCCTTACAGAGCGTCAGACTGTCAGCACTTTGTGCACCTGGCCCCCCAACCAGGCTGAAGAGGAGAGGATTTACCAAACGGAGGTTTGTTTACATCAAATGTTCCTTTGTACAGCTTCTTGCTTCAGCGTCAGCTCTATGAATTACTCAAAGAGCCCAACCTTTCTGGAGTGCAGTAGTGTTGGAAATTTAAATGTAGGGAAATTAACCGCGCTGAGTCAATGTAAAGTGAAGCCGAGAAAGTCAATAAGATATTTCTGAGATTTAAAGTTTAAGAATAACATGAAATAAAGGAAGTCGCTTTCAGTCTGAATGTGAATATAAGTTTGTTTGAGATGGACCTACTGTAGGTCTAAAAAAAAAATCTTGGGCGGCATGTCAGCATTTCTCATACATCAAATATGAGAGACAGATATCTGTAAGGTGCTTATCGTCTCAGATAAGAAAGAAAGGCAAACAGCCCTGACAGTGAGAAAAGGGAAAGACAAAGTCTTTGGAGTGAGTTTTTGTGTATGCGTGTGCAGGAGTTTGGAGGTAAAGAAACAAGTCAGTTATTACTAATCTAATCTTGGTTACCTTGCTGCCTCATATTGAAACTATAGAATCTCGGATCATAGCTGAGTTCCATTCTGTTGAATTGCCTTTTTAGTTCTGTTGGATGTGTAGGGGTTTGCACCATTGCCTCACAGCGACAGGGTTCCAAATTCGATTCCCAGCTAGTTTGCATGTTTTCTCTGGGAATGTATTGGTTCTCTCTGGGTGGCCTGAGCTTCCTCTCACTGCCCAAAAACAAGCAGGTTACATTAATTGGGAACACCAAATTTTACTTTAGGAGTGACAATGAGTACAGTACATGGTTTTCTGGTCTTGTCCATCTCTGTGTGGCCCTGTGATGGTTAGGAAACCTGTCCAAAAAGTGGGCTTAGCAAATGAATAAATAGAAGGATGAATGCATGGTGTTTTAGCTGCATGGCTCAGCTTTAAATTAGCATTGGCAGATAATTGCTCTCTCATGCTCTCTCTTTCATCTGTCAGCCTTTGCTGTCTGCTTCATGCACAAACCTGTCTCTTGATTACTGTCCAGGAACAAATGAAAGCTCTGGGGAGAAACTGGTCACAGGTGTTTACTTAGAATGACTAATAGTGGCCTTTGATCACAGCTGGATCAACCTCCCTTTGACTTACTGAACTAACAGTGCACTCTCAAAGAAATACGTGTAGATAGAATAACCCAATGCTTCAGTGTAATTCTCTTTATTTAGAGCAAGTGTGTGTTTAAGGCCCATTTAAGCATTCAAACCCCATTTACTCATCCTGTCCTATATTCTGTTTTTACCCAGTTTCTCCAAGGTCCACGGACACCCAGGCAGAAGACCCCTTTAGTGCAGCGATGGGAGTCAGGCCAGATCAAGGGCTACAATCTTGCAGATGACTGAGAAGGAGGTCATTTTTACGAAGACTTGTGATTCTTGACATTAGGGGATCAAATAAACAACAATGTATGTCATAGAGAAAGTATGAGGGGACACTGATAAGAAAGAGAAGAATGCAGAGAACAACAGATTGAGATGAGAGGTACGGAGCAAAAGAAGTATTAGGAGCAAGACAAATAATTGGTGGTGGACGGGAATCAGTAAGATGGAAAAGGATAGAGAAGTCAGCCAAAATGAAAAAAGAAAGCAGTTTTGGCAAAGACTTTATAATATAAAAAATAAATGTAATCAAATATAAATGTTTATTATCATGAATTGAACAAGAATTACTACAATCAAACTTTACTGTAAAAAAGGCAAATGGAGATAGTTTTTTTCAAAGATGATCATCTTTATTTTTTTAAGATTTATCTTTTAGATTTATGAAATAACTAAGTGTATTACTTTCATGCTGAAGGCTTGTGTGTCACCAATTAAATATTTTGGTTGTTTCCACTGCAATATGAAAAAAATGAGAGGAGTAGTACCTCTTATAGTAATTAGAGCCAGAAATTGTCCAGGCTAAATCCTTATGGTCGCATTGCAGTTAAGATTTCATGATACATACACAGTGGTTGTTTGTTGCAGTCCTGTTTTGTTCCTTAGGCTGGCTTCTTTCTTGTTTTCCCTCATGGATTCATGGATTTACAGCCTTTAGCAATAAAAGCATAGCATCTTTTGCTATAGTATGCAATCTAGAACCTCCACTTTCAAACAAAAGAAATGAGCTGGGCAGAAAATCGTTGAAAGTATCTGCACTTTAAATCATGAGACCACACATAGAGTTCAGTATGGAATTTTTTTGTTCTTGATGGCAATTACATGCAGGTTCAGTTTCATGTTTCTATTTTCACCTCAGTCTTGATTCTATTGAGACATGACCATTTTGTGTTTGTGGTTTTGCGGTAAAAGTAGTTTGAGGGGTAAAATCTAAATCACTGAATACTTGCAGCACCCCTCTGTAGCTATGTGATGCCAGAGGGTTGTGACAAAAACTGAGAGAAAAAGTTCTGATGAAGAGATGTACAGGTAAATTCTCCAAGTTCAGGCAATTAAAAAAGAATATTTAATGATTTTTTTCTGCTTGTTTTTTTCTCTTTCTTGAAGTCAGTTTGTATGATGTAAAAGTATGTAACGAGTGTCTTTACCGCACCACGCACTACCCAGAGGATTTTTAGTTCAAATACTTTTTTTAATTAAAGTGAAAAGTTAGACAAGGGGCCCCGGGAGAGCTAATTTTGCACCGACTAAAACTACTTACACAGAAGTTTGAGTGACAGTTATATTGTGGACATGTCCACAACGTGACTTCTGAATCAAACTGCTCTTTACATCTTTTTCAACACAGAACCCCCATGAACGTCTTATGTCTGCCACAACTTGAGGGCAACAATGAAGGTTAAGTTTGTTGATTTAAAATGCCCATCAAACAGATTCGCAGGAACCACTCGAACAGAAGGAAGTAGATGTTCCTGCAGTTGTATAAAATAAGATTCAGTGCAATGTCACAACACGTTTGCATAAGCTTGTAATTTTTAGACTGTTGATCAAACAAACTAAGGAGCCGATATAAAAAAATTTAGAGATAGACTTAAATTCATACATATCCAATATAAGGAGTCTCGGTGGTTACAGTAATTTTTAATTTTCCCACAGTTATACATAATTTAGGAAGCATACAGTAAGGCATCTCACAGTTACAACTTACTCACAGTTGAGCAATCTAATGCACTACAGCTTTAATAAACGTTTTATCTGTTTATTACCTGGTAAACTTTGTGGCTATTTTAGAAATGGCAGATAGCGGTAGGGTTGTATTTAAATGCTTTTGTGGTGTAAATGTTTTATAAGTATATTACAAACACAAAGGTTGTCGCATAAAACGGTGACAATGTATGATCACCTCACAGATAACTTACTTATAGACAGATAACATAAATATAACAGATAAAAAAACAAGATTGTGAATTTTAAAACACATTTCTTAACCTTCCTTTTACTTTGGCTGAAAACTTTATTACTGGGGCTATGAAGCATCTTTATATAGCATAAAGTAATGTTGATAAAAGCTGTCCTCTCTGTAAATAATTTCTCCTTGAATGTTCCAGTGTTATAGATTAACGAATTGTTAAGAATCTCTATAGCACAATAAGGTTGAATTCTACAATAGACAGCGTGATGATCATGAGTTTGACCATAATCTACTCTGGCCTAAAATGTGTCTGTTTTGAGTTTCACTGTTAGTGGTCGAAGAGAAATGTGTTGTCTTGAATTCCCTTACTGTCAATTTCAAGAGAAAAAACACTGTTTTTTAAATCTTTTCTTATTGGTCATAGAAGAAAAGATCATACTTCAATGACCTTTCAATCTCTTGTAAATTATTCATCTTATCATTTTGACTGGACACTCCCCCAGATGGTGCCACTACATTGTTTGGTGAAACCACAGGCACTTCTAAAAATGATGAACAAGCTCCCATTCTCATTAGGTGCCTTCTCTTGACTGCATAATGGCAAGACACCAAAGGCCTTGGGGTAACTACAACATTAATTGAATAATAAAAAAACACTTCCAATATCAGCCATAAAACTCAAGTTTCATTCGGTTAAGTGAGAACATTACAGGCTAATCGTTATTGTAATGTGGCAGCTTTCTAGAGGTATTGGCTCAGTGATAAACATGTGCACCTGTCTATTACAGGTTAATTTCCAGACTAATTTCCATGATATTTCATTATCTTTATTATCACATCCAAAGTCTTGCTGGCACAAAGTGATCAGGCAGCACTGCATGGAACAACCTGCGTTAAGAGGACAAAGGCACATCCCAGTCCATCTACAGATATACAGTATATATGCATATATATATGTATTTACATCCTATAACTTATCTCAGTTTTCATCATGCTTTTCTGCCTCTGACAGACATGTAATTCATTCATATGTATATACTCCAATTGGCATATTAATGTTGGAGCCTGGCATATTAAAGATGTACAGTACCCACAGTTGGTTGAAAATAGAACGCTGACATTTTGAGATTCTTCATCTTCTCCATATTTCTATACTTGTGAAGTATGGCCTATAGATGTAAAAATGTCATGCAAAGAACTTGAAAATCACTGTATGTTATAACATATAAACATTTCTCATTGAAATGTATCTAATTCAACAGAATGATCATCAACCGTAATTTTTTTTTTTTTATATGCTGCATTGCATTCTTGTCTGTTTCAAACTTTGATTCAGTGAGTTAAGTACAATTCATTGAAAAACATCTGAAAACTGACAATATTCCCAAGATGTTCTTCAGAGCTCTTGGTGTCAAAGAGACTTGCAAAACTTATAATCAGCTTATAAAATACAAAAGAAAACACATTCAACAGCAAAAAAGTAATGTATAACTGTTATTTTACTAACAAGTATGATTTATCACTTATTTCCTCTTAAACATGCTGTCATGTCAACACGAAATATGGGTTTATGTGTGCCAATGATTTTCACAATGCAGACAAGCTTCCATTATGTTTGATGCCATACCAAGTGGCTTCCAGTTCTCAGACTATGTATCATTTGGTTACATGTGTGGTGACAATAAAAGAGATTATTATTTTTATTTCATCTCATGTAGCTCTTTTTTATGTATTTTGTAATGCTTTGTATGTGGGTGTGTTTCAATGCTTTGATGTTTTCAGAGGGGAGATAAAATGCCACAGCTGAGTCACAGAGAATCAATTTAAGCCCACCTGATTTCATTCTGTCTGTGCTTTGTTTAAAAAAAAAAAGGTGGGGTGGCCTGATTATAGTTGGTAACTGTCACTGCCTTTTTACATTAAACAGCCGTCCTCGTGCAGTACTCAAACATATTTCAATCTTAACCTATTAGATTTCTGTTTTTTACAATCCCATTAAATATTGTTTTTATCACTTAAGTCAAGTGTCTCTTTAAGATTTATGTAAACAAATGTGTAATTCAAGTTCATGTCTCACAGCACGACCCTTTCTTAAAACCCTCATCAAACACAAACCGGCCCTATGCTATTTATGGAAAGTAATCCATTTGTCATCACTTCACATGAATTTAAGGATTAACAGACTACAAATAATTCATTCAATAATTTAATGTAGCCTAAAAAAGCTTCAGACTGTTTGTTTTTTAACCATCTGAGATCATTTGTTAGGCTGAGGTATTACTTGAAGTGGGATTAAGTTTTGAGTTTAGGCTAGGTTTATACTGCGCCAAATAAGTGGATTTTTTTTGCAGTGACCTAATAAGTCCATAGAGTCATCCATTTTAAATGATTTTTAATTTCTAAAGATGTATTTAATTTGTAAATAGTGAAAATTTTCCAGCTCTGGAAAAAACTGGTTTCTTGACGGTGGGTTTGAAGTTTGAAGATCTGTGGGCCTCCAGGCTGTCTGATCAGGATACACTTCAGGAGAAGCAGGAACATTTCTTTAGATCAAATGTAATTACGGTGTAGTTCTGTCAAGTGGTGCACACATTAGATCTAAGTAACCAATAACACTTCTATAAGACATTTTTTTAGGTGCAAAAATGCAGTTAAAATTGAGTTTGCAGCCAAAATTGACAGCAACTTGTTTGATACAGGGGAAAATATAAACACTTACTGTTTCCCTATTTTTTGTTCATTGTCAACCAACTCCTGTGGTACATAAAAAACACAGAATGTGGTGAGTTTTAGGGACAAATTATCATCATTAGAATGTTATACTGTATATTACAAATATCAATTTTGCGTCTCACTTATGCATATACTGGAATACACAGAATAATGCTGCATCAGTTCTCAGCACAAAACACAAAAAACTCACATTGCTGTGGGCTCCTATTGTTATTTTGACTCAAAGTCAAACATATTTGCCTCAACCCATTAGCTGTAGATGAGTAGCTCTTTTTTTTCTTGCATGTAAATGCTAATGATCACACAAGAATTAACTGTAATTCATACAGGTGGCACACACCAATCATTAATCGGTATTAATGTAAGTGTTTTCACTCTTTATCTTTTTATGAAGTATATTCATACATCAGCTGTATGTATGTGAGGCACGGCCTGGAAGGGTTTGTGCTGCTGTGCAGACCATTATATGTGATAAAATCCTGGTCGTGCTGAAGTGTCTTACTGCCACTTCCGGGATAATAATGACCTTTGTAAACTGGGTTATTGTGCACCATAAAGCCACATAAACAGGTAGGATATGATAGTTACTCCTCACTTATGTTTGCTTTCTCATTAACAGTGCACTTTCTTTCAGATATGGTGCATTTCCAGTCATCACTTGTTCAAATAAATCTTTAGTAATTTGACATTTTAAAGCTGATGATAATCCAGAATTGTTTCACTTAATTTATGACAAGGTGACAATGTACAATAATTGAAAATATCACCTTGAATAATGGAAGCAATCAAAATTGTGAAGCCTTTTTGTCCCACTATGGCACTGAATAGAGAGCTCCTGTCATTAAATTACAACTGGGATACGCTTCAGTCTAAGAGGTTTAGAAAAATAGATAGACGAGGGAATGGAAAATAGAGTAGAAACAGTGCCCTCTCTTGAAAAGTTTTTATAATTACAATAGGTCAACTTCACTATGTTTCAAATGCCTTCTTCATCATATTATGTCTTACATTTTTAAAAGGTACTTATTAAGGCTCAGCGATGTAGATGCATGCAACAAATATTGTTTACAATACTATTGATCTTTTTTTTTTACTTTGTTCTTGTACAGTTATAGTCTGGGTTTGTGTAAACGTCTATGTATGTTTCACTGTACGGATTCTTATTTATTTTTATGCTTTTATTGTATGATTTTGTGCACAGATGCTTTTTTCCACTGAAATCCTGTTAGTGAAATCAATTCTTATCGGCAGATCCAAAAATATAATCTCAGGGTCTTAAATATCCTTCTGCTTTTTCTGACGGCAATATTAAATATTCAATCGTTATTGAAAAATGGAGACATCCCAAACAGATTTAAAAAGAATAAAGATAAATTCTTTATTTAGGAAGATGGGCTCACTAAGATCAAACAGATATTGTATCCTGCTAAACTCTACAAACGCCGCTGGACATAAGATGAAACGGGAAGTGAGAAAATACCCTTTCCTGTCCTGCTGTGCAACCCCAACTGGCGCAACACTGATAAACTATGATAAAGTATAAACGCCCACGTATACATGCCCACGTACACACACACATACACAGTTAGAGTGGAAAAAACATTTCTAATGAATCGGATGGATTGGGGATGTGAACGTCGAGAGAGGGTTCCAAAACGGAGATCTGGAGGCAGCATCTGTGTCCTCGTTCCCCCATTCCTGTACACGAAAAAGTACATACAGGCAACCCATTAAAGATCTAACCGTTAGGTAATTTCCGATGGCATAGTCGATATCCAACCACTGCTTTCGCAATTAGATATGTTGTTGTGTTTCTAAAATAGACTCACAAGTAACTTAATACAGCACAACAGCATTAATGACAAATGTAGGCATATTTTCTATAACTCATTATGAAAATTGAGAAAAAGAATATACTACTGTCATGTAAAATTCATTAGTGCCCTACTTAAGTTACAATATTCCAAGAGAAGTTTATTGTTATGTGCATTCTAATACTTTATACTGCCCTAAATGCCACAATTCACAACTTTGAGGCCGTGCCAACATCATTTTTTAGGATTTTGATGGTGTCTGTGGGACCTCTTTACCTGAGTATAGCTGCTCAATGGGAGTTTGTCTCAACAGTAACTGTGTTATCCTATAGTAGTAGTAGGAGCTGAAGGACAAAAAAAATTGCTAATACTTTAAAGTGGCCTATAACGGTGACACATGTAAAAAAAAATGTCTAAAGAGGTGAGAATGGTGATATACAAGACCTGATAATACCATACTTTTTAAAGTCCCGGCCTTCTTAAACAGCAACACTGAGATGCTAGAAATGTAGTAAAAAGAGTGTGATTTTTGCCAAAACCGTGATTGTGTTCTAACCCTAAATGGAACATTAACAGGTTGCGAAACAGAGACTGTAAAAGGTTGTGTTACTGAATGAACACAACCCAAAAGGTGTAAGGCAGATTGTTTTAGCGGAATTTGGCTGTCAACATATACTTTTAAGTTCTTGTGGTTGAAAGTCCTCGGCATGATCACATCCACCTCCCATCCTTCCTCTTTTAGAGGACATCATGGCTTGTTATTGCACATCATGGCTTGTTATTGCAAGCCCTTTAGAATTATACTTACTCCAACCTGGAAACAGATGAGCTGTGTTTCCTTCCTGCTGCGAAAATGGGGGATAATTCAGAGGACACACTTAGGTGTCGTATGTAAGGGGATTAACAATCAACATATTTGGTAATTTACTTATTCTAAGTATTAAGTTAATGCTCCCATCCACTTCTGCCATTAAGCTCCAGAGAAACGTAGGTCTCCATTTAATTTAACTGCTTTGGAAAAAAGCTGTTGCTTTACTTTGCATCAACACACCAGATAAATAAAAGTATCTTAAATAAATCCCTGCTCTTCACAAGAAAGGTAAAGGGACAACGCTTGAGAGAAAAAAAGGAAAACCTGAAGAACATCTTTAGGCCGACAGATTAATTTCAGCATTCATAATCAATGAGAGGTATCCTCAACCACTATGCAACAACACTAATAAGAAATATCAACGGTATGTTTGGGGTTAAGATTGTATTAGTATGTGTGTGAGAGAGAGTGACAGACATAATGCCTATATGCACCTGTTTATAGTAAAGTAATTAGGGAGGTTTATAGCTGTTTTTAGAAGCAAATCCAAAAGAGAAACCAGCAACCTTATTACAGAAAAAAGGTAGTGAAAGGGGTTTGTCCACTATCTTTCCATCAGAGTTTTATTGGGCATCACTTAATGTACAGGGAATCTAATTTTCAACACCTTGTGTATGTTAAATAGTCTTTAGAAATGTACTTGCCTGTTTAATATGCATTTATATGAGGAAACCACAGGGGACACTTCAAAGAAGTCAAGAGGGAAATCATTATCAGAGGTACTATAACAGCAGAAAGAGTGAAAACTGCTGTATATCAGAAAGTGTCAAAGTCATTCAAGTTAAACAGCCAGATATCAGGTCACAGGCTCAACTAGTCACCATGAATCTCCCGTATGTGCTCTGTTCAATACAGCCGAAGCCACATAATTCAAACAGTATATTTAGTTTTAATGGCTATATGTTTGTTGCAGACATTTTGGAGACAATTCCCACTGTCGTAGTTTTTGGGGGGTTTTGCCACCGGGGATCAGTATTTGAACTTGAGTTGTGCTGTAACTTTGTCCTGCTTTGTGGTGGCCCTAGTATATATGGACATATAAGCATTCTATTACTTTTCTATTATCTTTTCCAATACAGCCTCATCACAAGTTGGTCATCAATACAGCACAAATTTGAACTGCTGCAGTCAATTTAGGATTTCAGACCACAAAATAGCAGTTTGCTGATAAAGCTCATGATCAGAGATTTGGACGAACCTGAGAGACCCATCTTTAAAAAATCATTCTATGTCACTGTCCTAAATATTCACATTGCTTGGTTTTTCCCAAGCTCATTGGCTGCTGCACTATGTCCTACTTTTCACAGTGTCACTGTCTTTTAAATATCCTACTTAGTCCACAAGGAGCAATACCACAGATTTTACAATTGAGGAGATTCAGCTGCTAATGGAGATTAAGATGTTGGTGAATATTTACCTGAGAAGTAAAGTTTCCTCGTTTAGATGTGAGGTCTGGTGGAGAAAAAAACAAAAAACAAAAAACAGCTGCATTTTCAGTACATAACTCCAGGGTATCGTATCACTTTGATTGTTATGTATATGCCCATAATTGTCCCCAGGAAAAGATAAGAAGAACTGGGAGTGAACAGAAAATGAGTTCACAAAACTGAAAGAGGAAGAGGGATTCTGAAGAAAAGAACTCACCGGCAACATGGTCTTTATCATGAACTTGTGTCCAGAACTGCGTCTCCTGCCTGGAAATGTGCAAGATAGAAACTATTATGATCACATTTACAAACAAATAATTCTATAACCAAAATTCTCATTATCTAGTGATCTGATCAACTGTACTGTATGCTTTTTTTCAGCATTTCAGATCCATCATCACAATACCTTCTCTTCTTTTCTTCAGCTGCTGCCCTCACTATGCAGAAAAGAAGAGAGGAGATAAAGAGGGAAGTAATCAGTTCCTCAAAGGTAGAAAAGAATGGCAAGTGACTAATCAGAGTGAAATACCTTTCCTCTGTGCAACCACAACCACAAGTGCCAGCGAGCAGAGGAATAACACAGCCGCAGATACAGAGCCTAAAACAAGAGGCCAATCCACACCTGGCACACACACATGGCAACATGATTACGATTGAGGACAAGAACTGGGAAATACAAGTTTTCTTTGTTAAATCTGCCTGTTAAAACAAATCTCATCGCAGCTAACACATATTTATCACTTGTTTTTATTGATCTTTGAGCATATGTAATCTTGAGACTTTACCTTTATTCATGATCAGTAATACACTATTTATAATACAGTCATTGTTTAAGTAAAATAATGTTTTGGGCCTACCTCTCAATGCAGGTGAGGAAATTCCTGAAAGTTGATTGGAATGAATAGTTAAGATTTAATTGTGTTAAAATCACCAATGTGTAGTTTGGTGTAAGTTCATACCTCTTGTTACAGATAGGGGTATGCTTCTTGGGGAATGGCTCCACATTTTCATTAGCATGACACTGTACTGGCACTGGTAGAGAGCCACTGCTGTGTCCTGCACGGGTACTTGAAATATGACTTCATGGTGCATCATCTTTGCCAGGTGAGTGGCAACAGGAAGTTCATCACCCGCTAGGAAGAGTGAGAACACCCCACCTGGGTATGCAGGAGACCCTGAGCAAAGCAAATGCCACACGTCTGTTTGTCGCTGGAGCGTAAGGGTGGGCGCTGGCAGCATGTCTGGGAGCACATGAGATAACATTAGTCAAGGTATCAATAAAAGCATTAAATTCATCAGGTTAGTCTCACAATAGTACGTGTAACAATATGATGTGGCATGTGTGAGCAGTTGACTGGAGGGGAATTACAGGGACTTTGTGGGAGAACTTCAATGACTGGGCCCAAAAAATAACTGTCTCCTCCTGAACACTACCAAGACCAGCTGTCGGTAGATTTCAGGAGATCTAAAACTCTATGCCAATCAGTCTGCACAGATGGATAGGAGATGGAGTCTCCTCAGATCTGCAAACACATGGGAGTGTTGCTGCATAACAAATTGAAATGGTTTGCCAACATAGAAGTCGTGTACAGGAGGTTCCACAGTCATCTCCTCTCTCTGAAAAGACTCAGATAAATTAATATCTGCAGTGAAATGCTGTGCATGTTCTATCACAACCGTCTACTAGCTATTTTCTATTCTATTCCTATTCTGTTCATTTCATGTGTTAATTTGTCCTAAATGTAATTGTCTCCGAATACATGGTTGTAAACATGTGTCTGTTAGATAAATAGATATGTGTTAAATACCTAAAATCAAGGCGGATGAATCGAAAAATGTGAAAGTCTTAAATATGTATTTTTTGTCACTGTCGAAACATAACTCTTCCATATGTGCACCTTACCATGAAAGGTAAAGGTAAAAAAACGCATCAGATGCTCTATAAGTTCAGTGGAACTCCAGGAACTCCTCCAGGGTCTTTAGGACCTGGGTTGGGAAACACTGCTCTATAAAGTTTTTGAGTCAGGTTATCTTCTAACCAAGCATTTTGCAGAATTAGGATGAAAACTTGATGCGAAAGAGCAATGACTTAAAGAAATTAACTGTATGGGACAAAATAACCCCCAAAAAGTAGTTCTTACTTTGTTTAACCTTTCTTTTGAAAAAGCAATGCTAGGACTGATATCATGTTATTAAAATAATAATGGTTTTTGCATTGTTTGTGGGAGATTAGGTTGAAACATATTTTGTGACTTGATCCATTTATCAAATTTAACAATTACCGAAAACCTGTAAAAGGTAAACTCTTAAAGATGACCTGTGGAGTGTGTTTTTGTGTTAATTGAAATAAAGCTTATTCTAAATGCTTAAGCAGGAAACACTCAAGTGTTACAGACACACATATTGAAGTGACATAAATCAAACAACCAAAAAAAAGAAGTATGCCGCCCCATCATCAACAACTGAAGATTATTAGTAAATTCACATTTAGAAACATGTAGAACATCATCACCTGTAATAGTGATTTGCACCACATTGCTGACCGTTGAATTAATCATTCCCCTTTTTTTGGTGATTTGGTAGAGGCAGGTGTACTCGCCCTCTTCTCCTCCCAAAACTGGCCCCAGCGTGAAGACCCCTGGCTGTGTTTCAGAGTTTGAAACCTGACCGGATGGAGGCTGCGGGATGACGGATGTTAGCCCAGAGTGCTTGTCAGTCCTCAGCAACAGAAAGGTCGCTGGTTTCTTCGACTGGGACTGGGACTGTGATTGGGATTGGTTGGGATGAGTGGGCACCATGCAGCGGAAAGAGAGCGTCTCCCCACGTTTTATCTCTCCTGTAGAGGGCTCCACAGACAAGAGTGGAGGGGGATAAGAGGGAACGCTACGTGTTGGGGCGAGACCTAAAGTAGAAAAAAAATCATATTTTAACTGTAATTCTTTTATCGTTTCATATTTTACTCATTATTATACCCATATACCCTCATTTGCCAAAGTTTCTGACTAAATCTCCCTTGGCAAACGCCCACAGTTGAAACTTTTTGTGTTTTGTGGGTCTTCTTTTGTGTGTGTGTGTGAGAGTGTCTGTGTGGGTGGGTGTGTGCTTTCTATATGAAGAGCAGGATGTAACTACAGAAACACACACCCACAGAGCAGAGGACAATAAGAAACCACAGAGAACACCTGCAGACAGAGTGTAATGTTGAGTTGGAGTGCAGCGGATGTGAATGTCATTATTTTATACTACATTCACGACCGTGTGAGAATTGATTCAGCTCAGCAAATGTGTTGTTTTTTTATTAAATGGGCCTCTTTCCTCCTTCTGGCCAACTGTCATCGCTACAGTGATAAACCACAATGACTGAAATACAAGTAGAAAGATAAATATTTGAGTTGCTTGCAGGGAGTGCTGAATAACATGACACAAACTTGTTTGTCGCTCCAGTTGTAAATATGGACTGAACGCGCTGTAGAATCCCTCCCGACTTCTGTACAAACAGCAGAAAAGGTAACGTTTTCCTAATTCCCATCCTTTCATCTCTACGGTAAACTGAACCTCCCGAGCAGCTGGCTGGAAGTCCATTGAGTCCACCTTATCAAAAGTAGTAACGAAGAAAGAATAAAGAAAATCTCAGCAGATCAGCACAACTCGAACACGCTGGAAACTGGAAAATATATACACATCTGAAAAATCTAATTACCTGCTCTGTTTTATTGTACAACATGAACCGAATCCCAAAATGCCCCTCGGGAGCTTGGCAGATCAGGACCACTGAGTCTTTTGACCTGGAATATATGTTCAGTGATGGCGGTGGAAGAGTGTAAGCCGTCGATGACGCTGAATGTTTTCCTAGAGAGAGTAAGAAATTATAATGACTTGTCACTTGAAAAAACTGTATCAGGAGTCCTACCTCAGCACATGTGTTAATCGCCCATATTGCCAAATATTCTGACGTCAACTTTGTACTAAACTGATATTGCAACTGAAAATCTGAGAGAAGAATAATGTTTTTACAACAGGCAGAAATTAATTTTTTTAGCTATCCATCCAAGTTTTTTATGTTGTCTTTATCATTAAACAAAATATAAATGACTCATCAACATGAAACACCAAATCTTTTTTTGTAGTAAGACAAAGTAAACACTTACCCCAAAGTTGTAAAAATGTCAGTGTCAAAGCACAAAACCAAGGCGATCCACCACGAATAAGCTGCATCTTTGATTCAAGAAGAGGACTAGCGGGGACAAAATAAAGGACTTCCTCACATAAGTGTGCTCGTCTCTCTTTCTCCCTATGTCTTCCTCTCTATGTTTTCTTAATGCATCTGACATCCTCTTAAAGAAAGACCGATGGGGGAAGCCCAACCTGTAAACACTTCCTTTTCAGGAGTTCATTGGTTGAATGTGCGGTATGAAGAAAACCAAAAAGCAGGCACTGAATCAAAATAAATATGAAGAGGTCTTCATCAGCGAATAGAAACAGAGCAGTAATAACATTTCTGACCATTTGATAAAATAGCATGAGGATGTGAAATGTGCTTAAAATATTTAGATATAAAAGCATACCTTTTCTGTGCTTTGATAAAGAAACAGCAACATGATCGGGTTATTTGTAATCTGTTTTCAACAGCTGTGAGCAAAGTAAATACTTGAAACAGTGTCACAGCTGCTGCCAAAATCCTGTGACTTCCTGTCAGCTGTTCATGCAACGCTCCTGCTTTATTTCCACTTTGGACATTTTACTTGACTTTCATTTCCCTCTTCTTGCAACTATTGGACTCTGGCTTCTCCAATCTGCCATGGTATATTTCTGACAATCGCTTTTTAAATCTCCAGTTGTCCAGTAAATGTATTGGCCTGTCGTGTTGGCTCATCTGTACCCTAACATTATTGTCTAATTTAATTTACTTTAGAATAATTTCAAATATTGTCATTTATTCTGGGAATTTTCTAAACGTCATTTTGTTTTGTACTTTGGAAAATGAGCAATCTCTCCCAAAAATCTAGGCCATTTACGCATTTCAAAGGAGATTTGTCAAGGGAACAAACAAACTTTTTATCAATAAACAGAAAAACGTACTTTTTGGGAAAGCTTGTTCCAGTCACATCTGCATATGGAGGAGTGTTTAGAATTAGGCCACTGCTGAAGTAGATGTTCATACAAAATATCAAGAAATCCAAATGTAATTATTTTAAATTAAGAAGTATGTAATCTAATTGCCACTATTTGCGAGGTGATGCCAGTATAAAAGGAGAAAAGTATATTGTTTTAAGAACTTAAGGACCATTCTGGTCTTTTGGCAGACATAAAAGTTTTTAAAAATTTCTGCTGACATGATTGATTTGACTAATTTTAGCTGCATATTAGCTTTAAAAAATTTAAACTTAAACTTTAACTCAAAGGCCACAATATGTGCCTTTACCTTTCATCAAAGCACTCGGAAAGCCTGGGACTTATTTTCACTGGTTTCCATAGCATGTAATGTTCAACTGGTCATACGGCATTGACGTTGATTTTACTTTGATCTTCAACACCTACGTAAGCATTTCTGTACCGAGGACAGCAGCTTCTCCTTGGAGGGTTTCTTCAAAACCCACAAAAACTTGAAGACTTTGAGGCTGAACAGATTCCACCTCTCCTTTGAGTTAATTTCAGCAATTGAGTCTACTTAAAAAAATATAATCTTATTTTGAGCACATCTCGACTTGGTTATTGGTTAAAGCCTGAACATTAGTGTAATCAGGCCATCCATCCATCCATTTTCTGAACCGCTTATCCCCAAATTGAGTCGTGGGGGGACTGGAGACTATCCAAGTTGTGAATGGGCGAGAGGCAGGGAACACCCTGGACAGTCTGCCCGTCCATTGCAGGGCATGATCCGTCCATATCTTTTTTAAATGCTCTTTTGTGTACCAGCTTTTTTGTTCCATTAGAGATTAATATATCAGCTTCCTTTCCTTTTCAGCTTTGTTTAAATCCTTACAATGTTGTCATATGGGTTATTTCTGCAATTTTAATATGAATGGTTTGTGCATAATTAAGTGAAGATTTATAAATAACATTCCCTAAATGCAAAAGACTTAAGATGATAGATTGTTGTGACATCATAGTGGATGTTTGATCAATTTTGTGAATTAATTTACAAATGGTTCCCAGAATAAGGATGCAACAGAATATTTAAAATAATGGAGGAGTAAAGAGTATTGCCTTGCTGTTGAAGAGCAATGTGTGTGTTTGTTAACCTTCATGCTAATGCTGTGCAATAAATTGCAAACGCAAATACTTGCAGTATGGTTTATAGTACACTAAGCTTTCCACTTGGTGGTAGTGTTTAGCTATGGTCAACAGCAATTCAAAAGCAGATAAGCTTAGAATACATTGAACTGCTTAATCACTCTGTATATCTTAAAAAAAATATTTCAGGTTACATCGAATCATGTAAACCAATTTACTTTTAAGGTTTTTTTGTTCATCTGATTACCTAATTTCCTGATGATTTGTTCCTCCATGTCGTCCAATTTATTTGCCATATTTCTTTTAATAAACTGTATATATGGAGATAATCTGGGTTCTGTTTGAAATAAAAGGGAAAAGAAAAGACTTTGCAGCAGACTTCATAATACGTAATGTTGTAAATCTAAGTAGCGTTGGTATGATACAATGCAACAAAGCTAAATGGATTGTGAAATAATAGGAAAAAGAGGACTTAGAGCAACTACTTGCATCATACTTGGTGTTCTCGTTCGATACTATCATTCATTTTAAGGAAGTAACAGGAGCTATTTCTGCCCCTTGCACAGGTTAACATTTCGTTATACCAATGGAGAAGCTCTCTTAAAATATTCACATGTGAAATGCAACACGACCACAACCTGTTTTCAGGGGCATTACAAAAGCACTTCTCTTTTGCCGTGTCATTTGAGCATTGTTCTTTGACAAATAGCATAAATATAATTTTCCTGTTGCAGGCATGAAGTCTTAGCTCAATGTGAGTCATTTAATCTGCAGTTACTTTGCTTGTCATTTGGTCCGCACAGTGACGTCCAACCGTCCATTTCCTTCCTTTTACACAAACCGAGTAGGGTCACGGCGGAAGGGTAGCTGTAGCCTATCAAAGCTGTCATTAGCTGAGTGGTGGGGTGCACTCTGGACAGCTCGCTGGTCCATCAGGAGGGCTGTGACAGGTAAGTGTCATGTGCTGTTTTAGTGTGTTTTGACTTTTGAAATATCTTTGAAATTCCTGTTAAAGGAAGTCCACTCATCATTTGCCCCATAATGGATATATTCATATTATTGTAGTTTTTAGCGTTCAGCGTGGAAAAATTGTCTACAGATATTTATACCAGTTCTTGAGGGAAGTATATAGGGGAAAATTTACTTCTCGTTTGCCTGTGTGCCTATTTTTAATTGCCTAAGGTAGCTATCACCTTAAAAGCAGTTTGGCAGGGTATTCATATTCCCAGCTCAGAGTAAACTCATCACCCATTTTCCAGTTAAAAAATATGCTCCATTTTCCTAATTGCTGAGAAAACATTTATAATTTTGTAATTACTTCTTTTTGCTTTGCAATCAACACCGACAAGCAATGTTAGCGGGTTGTTCTTTAATTACATTCTAACCTTATATTATTTCAACGGTTTGTACATCAAGACAAAAATTTGATTGTCATTGTTAATTGTCATTGTATTTTCTTTCTTGCCAAAAGGTTGGGAATTCTTTTCCAATTTGAAAGGGCCATACAAGTTTGGCCCTTTGACATTATATGACTTAAACTGTCCCATAAACCAGCTCTTAAAAATAGCCTGTACATAATACAAAGGGTTTAACAAGTGGATATGCGATGGATGTATTCTGACTAAAACTTGCAGGTTATAACTTCATACAACTCATACACATAACTCACAAAGTATTGGGCCTAAATGAATTTTATTTGTAAAACTATTTGAGAATACTATTCTCGGTTACCGGTAGTTAATTTTACGTTAATTTTTTGGTGTGTTTAGTACTTTTAGCTTGATATGTTGTGTATGCCAGTGAGAGCTGTCGGATGAGAAGATGAGGGTGGTTGGCATCAGTAGGATATAAATGGTTTTAAAATGTTGAAAGAAGACTGTTCTTTTGTCAGGATGTGCCAATGTATACATTTGAATGTAATATGTTGTCACTGGTCCCTACTATAGCCTGGCACACTGTCCAAGGTGTACCCTGCCTCTCGCCCATTGACTACTGGGATAGGCTCCAGTCCCCCCATGACCCCATTTGGTAATAAGCAGTTCAGAAAAATGGACAGAGGGATGGATTGATGTTGTCGCTGTTTGCATTATTTTTATTATGTTTTTTTGTGAGGTTGTGCTTGTCCTGGATATTTTAGTACCTTTTGGAGTGAGAGAGTCTGTTTACTGCTATTGATACAACAGCAACCTCACTGGCCTGTGTGCATAATTTATTTGGTATAGAGTTGAGCTTATCAGTCTGAGCAGCACAGATGTTTGGAAAAAGATGAGGCTATTGTGTGTATATACTAGATTATTGTACACTATGCAAAGAATGTTGGTGTTAAATCATTCATAGTTCTCGTGAAGAAAAATAAGAAAGAATAAAAAACAGCTATGTCATTGTTCATGAGGTACAAATTATCAAAATCAATGTTACATTTTTTCTCAATTTGTGTAGGATTTAGAAAAGTAAGGGCCTAAACTTATAAAACCAAATTGTTTAGATGGCTAAGCTGATTTTTCATCCATTAGTTTTTAATAGAAAAAAAAATAGTTACAAAACATACATGTACTCTGTTTAACTTAATAGCACCACAGGATATTCAAGGGTTAAAGCAGTTAGGATTAATAGCATGAAAGCTCAACCACAATATTTAGACTAAATATTTTCTCTTCAAATATGATGATTTAAATTGAGACAACCAGAGAGGAAAATCTACGTGTAATTTTGTTGGACCTATTGAGCTTGGACAAATTGGAGCACACCTCATGTACCTGGAGATTCTTGAGATGAAGTGATGCAATTTTGAAAATAAACATGGCCATTTAAAGGTGAATACCTTTTCACAAATTTCAGGAAGTGTTTTGTGTTAAAATGGCTGAAAATATGTTGTTTCCTTGTTGTCCTTGTGTTCAACGGAAGCCTGAAAACATCAGGGCTAGTGGATCCAGTGCTGGGAAATACAGTATGTATAGGGTAAAAGTGGTTGTTCAAGCCTGGATGCTGTGGAATGCAAGAGCTCCCCAGAGGTGTGTGCATGTGTGTATGCGGTTTAGGGCATGTGGGTGTGTGTATGTGATGTGAAAGATGAGAAAGAGGAAACACAAGAAGTGTCTCATTACAGCAATAGATGTTGTTGGAGAGATTTATTAGCCTGGCTTCTCCCGCCTTCTTGGATACATGCATGGACGTTCACATACTGTGTGTTCTGGTCTAGCCAGCTGCTCAGAGCACCAGTATAATCTGTCTTTTCTTCCTGCCAAAATTCACTCCAGCACCTGCCTTGCTCATGCTGAGTCTTTCCCATTGCGACCATGTGTATAAATATCTTTGTGTCTTGTTTTGGCCTAGATTCTTGTGCATAAAAAAGGATGTAGAGCAATCAATAACTTCAAGAATATAAATATTTAATGCTTTAATAAAAGAAAAAACTTTGCATGATACAGAAATTTGGAGATCTAGTTGAGCTGTGGAGGAAAAAAGGTGTGCTTATAAAAAAAGAGCATTTCAGGAGGAAGGTTTTTCCAGTAGCATTATGGTGGATTGATATTGCTTTGGCCTTTTGTTACAACTCATGCCATAGACAATTCACTATTGATAGAAGAGATTCAGGTAAATACCAGCAACAGTTTTGCCATAGAAAAAAGATTTTGAAATATGACGATGGAACATTTGATTTATTCTATCTAAAGCCCTAATTGATTTACATTAGAATTTTTGAATTACAGAAAAATGTGATGATAACCACACAGCAAAATAGTAATTCTAAATAGACTCCCCATACATAATGAATTGTGTACAGTTTGCTATGAGATACTGGGTTCCTTCCACTGAAGATTCTCGAAGATTTATTGCCTAAAATATATATATTCCATTGCCTCCTAAACCAAACCTAACGTACATGCATCACTGAGTCATATTTTGGTTTGAATTTGATGTTGTTATTTAACTGGACCATCATCCGTGTCCCAGTATTAATTTGCAGGAAATAAAATAAGTGGCAGTGCTGTGGATTTTGTCAGAAAACATTTAATGTTCTCTATGGACGATCATCATATGTTTGAATATAGCAGAATTCAATGACAAAGGTATCATTAAGAGACGTTTTCGACTGAGCATAATGGGGATGGAGAGAGGATGAAGTCTCCTGCATGAAAAAAGGAAACAGGGAGTTTCACATGGGATGCAAGAGCTCTGAGAAAAAAAATTGTCTATCACTGTCATTTATCAGTGTAGTCACATAATTATAGTAAATACTGCCCCATAACTTGAGGCAAATCTCTGAAATTGCTCGAGCCTGACTTTGATATGGTTATCTGGCTCTCCAAGTACCTTTCGTTTTGCACATCCTCTTGATCACTACTGTTAATACATCATTTGAGTGGCTATCTAACACCATGCTTTTAAGAGCTGCACACTCCAGTCCTCTAAACCAGCAGGGAACCT